GACAACAACAGACAACAACAGACAACAACAGACAACAACAGACAACAACAGACAACAACAGACAACAACAGACAACAACAGACAACAACAGACAATAACAGACAACAACAGACAAACAGCCTCGTCAGGCCTAGGTATGTATATATACATACATTACATACATCTATTAATATATCAAATATCAATTATTATATAATGTGTAATATATATGAAGGAATTTACTACTTGATTACCCCGCCGCCCGGTACTCTGAACCCCCTTAGCTAGAGTAAAGGTTTGTATATATATATAAAGGAGTCTTCGGTTGTATGGAGGTAGGGTAGAGTAGGTAGGGAGGTAGGGAGGTAGGGAGGTAGGTAGGTAGAATGATACATATACATCTATCTATCTATCTATCCATCCATCCCACCTTTTAGACAAAAGAGTAGACGAAAAAGAGGGTAGACAAGAAAGTAAGTAACTTACATCCATCTATCCATCCATCCCACCTTTTAGACAAATTACCTACTACTACCGCCATCCCTGCCCCTTACCCCTCCCAGCCTCACACACTCCTATCCCTGTCCCTTACCCCTCCCAGCCTCACACACTCCTATCCCTGTCCCTTTCCCAGTCCCCTACCTACACACACATTATCCATCTCGGCATGTTCCGAAGAAAGAAAGAAACAAAAGAAGAGAGAAAATATTTTTCTCCTTCCTTGGAATATCATGTATGTATAATGTCTTTTTCTTCTTCATCGACACCACCCTACAATTCACATACAGTACATACATACATACATACATACATACATACATACATACATACAATGCCTGCCCCCAACCCCAAAAAGACCCAAAAGACCCAAAACCCAAAGAATGACATACATTCGCACACGTCCCATTGATTGCACTACTACCCTCACCAGCACCATCACCGTCACCAGCACCAGAACCATCACCGTCACCAGCACCAGAACCTACCCAACAACGATACAATGGTTCGTCTGTTAGTCCGGATGATAGGGCAAGGTGTTGTTGGAGTTTACTTTACTTTACTTTACTAACTCTAAATCTAATATTATAACTAGCAATCACTACACTACTACATTGCTACACCTATTCATCTATTCATTCATCCATCCATTCATCCATTCATTCATTCATTCATTCATTCATTCATTCATTCATCCATCCATTCATCCATCCATTCATTCATTCTCCTTACCTGTGTCATACATATCATATATATATGTATACTTACCAACCAAGGTTAGTACAGTGACCAACTAATTACCTACAGTAGATGATCGTCACAAAGAATTTCCCCCTACTCTAGCCCAATTTTTATTATCAATCACAAGGGGGATGATGCTTGTAAAATCTTCGGAGAACTGAACCCATACTCGATCTGCCAAAGACATACATGCACGCAATGCCATGCTGGCGTCGATCAAATTCGCGCACGAGGCACACTACAAAACGCACAAGCACAAGCACAAGCACACACAAGACGCACAAGCCGTTCAAGTACTGCTTGGCAGGCAGGCTCCACCGCAAAAGTGGAGGGCAAAATCATCGGATTGCTGCTTGGGGGCTAGTCCCAGGTATGATATGACATGGAGCTTCCCGAACATATCCTCCTATATAGAAAACGGCCGTGACAAATGCCCCGTTCGCGTGGGCGACCCGGTTGGGACATGCAGATCTAAAAACACACAAAACAGCAAAATCCAAGAGAGAAAACTCATTATCGTACCACCACGCCGAGCGAGTGTCGGGCGGCAAATGCCCTGATGTGCTGCGCTATGCCGTGCTGCGCTATGCCATTGGTATATGCAAAAAAAGGATCCGTGACGTTCGTAGCATCAGACAACATGTCATTATGATGCGGGTATCCAAGCTTGAAATCAACTGGGGAGAGAAAAAAAAAACATGGAATACAATTGGGGGATTAACAATCAAGGTAGGCCTCTGGTCACTCCAGTTCCCGGCTCGCTCGGGCGATGTCTTCATCGGTCAGTGCGGCCATCCACAGACACTTGCTCACTACGGTCGGATCTGGTGAGAAGGTGTATTTTCCACTGGATTCCAAAAGACGGAGCAAGCTCTTGACAATCGACGCTGCGGTGTGATGGCGCTCCCAGTTGATCAGCTTCTCCTGGCCATCGCCCTGGGTTCCTATATAGGCCGGTTTCTGCGCATTGTACACCAGGTCACGCGTGTAGATGCCGATGAAAGGGATGCACCCTTCGTCGACAGAGGCAGTCTCCATCTCCATTCGCAAGGCATAGAAATTTCGCATCGGCTGGACAAGCGCTTCAAGCTCGGCGAGGGTCGCACGGTCAGCTGGTGGGACCAGCTCCCAGGTTCGATGGAGACGGGCGCAGTCGCTCGACAGCAAAGCAACAGTGATCTGATACATGGTGGCGTAGTTTCGGAGCCTGCGGGCGTGAGAAGCAATGTGGATGTACTTGATGAGACACTTGGCACGCTCTTCCATGTCTGACGTGAGCACGACCTCAGACAGGGCCCATTTCACCATGAGATTGAAGCGTGCGATGACAACATCAACACCGCGCGGCTGCTCGGTTCGGAGATATTCTACCCAGTCTTGGATTGAGGGTGATGATTGGCGCCAGCGAAGCTCAATCAACTCTTTCCAGTCAATCTCATCCAATGCGTCCTTTTCTATGACGGTGAACTGCTCTGCAAGCACTTCGGAGGGATAGGCCAGGATGAAAGGAAGATGGACCAGAGGCTTCGTGGAGCCAGATGCAGCGGTGACGTGGTCCGGGACCGATCTTGGAGTCGGTGGTTCCTCAGCAAAGCCAGCTTCGGTCTGCTTGAAATGATGTTCCACATCCACGTCGTGGGAAGGTGGCGTCATGCCTGGAGTCGGGAGACCTTGCTGGAAGAGCGCAGTGTGAATCGAAGTTGCCGAATCAGTGGGAGTGGTCATAGACTCCAGTGTCGCTGGAGGTGTAGGCGGATGGCGAATTGGGTGAGCCATCTCGTTGTCAAAGTCTGCAGGCTCGTCGTCAAAGAAACTGCGCACTCGGTAATCCGAACCATTCTCCGAGTCTTCGTAGAAATCGGCCGGCACGTCGGACGAATGATCACTGAAATCTTGATTGTCATCCAGAAGGAACGAACAGTGAGCAGGGTTGGGCAGGGGCGACGCTGGGGTGCCCTTGAGACTGTCTGTCTTCTCGACGTGCACAATGGAGGATTTATCAGAGAGTATCCGCTGTAGCTGCGTAGATTTCCGGGGTGGTATCGATGATGGGTCCTCGCCTATGCCGCCGCCGCCGCCGCCAGCGGACCGGTATCTCCTAGAAGAAGCTGTGACGTCGCTAAAGCCACGTTCTAAAAGAGGGACGGAATTGTACGAGTCCTCTGACTCTGCAATCGAATGTGGCGCGTCCAATTGATTAGCTAGATAAGATGGTGATACTGTATCGACGGAGTGTGCGAGGGGAGACTGCCGCCTGGGAGTTGTGGAGTCGGATGCTCGATTGTCATCGATCATGAGACTACTAATCGCAGTAGACTGCTCCGGTTGGGAGGCAAAATGCACGGGTGAGACGTTGCCCGTCGAGGGACTACGCCTCTCAAACTTTCCCTCCAGTTTCAACAATGTAGATTCAACACCACCGTCGTCATCCTCATCATCCGGCAGGGCTCTCAGCTTTGCGACTTCGGCTTCAAACGAGGGACGCATGTTTGGCTGCGAAGAGTGTGTTTGCACCAGGGATAGTCTCTTCTTCGGCAGAGTCTCGACTTTGGATGAGCAATATTCCAGGGGAACTTGGGTGTCCTCGTCGTCATCGTCAAAGACAAGGCCCTGGGATCGGTACATTGAAGACTGGACGGCAAGGGACTCTGTACGAACCGACATGCTCCCAATAGAGTGTCTGCGACGGGGCGTATGCTTTAGCTCTTGCACATTGTCCACATTGCGAAGGTTGCCGCCGGGGCGACGGCGCAGCCTGTTGGCCGGGGCCTTTTCGTAACGAAAAGGATCGCTGTCCGAGGACTCGGACGGTACCTGGGAAGTTGTCGTTTCGCGCTTGCTGTGGAAAGTTTGGCCTAGGCTTTTAATGAGTCCGCTGTGGTATGAGGCATAGCGGCGAAGGGAGGAAGATGGTCGAGCGGAAGTAGTACCAGAAGTGCCACGGCGAAACAACGAGTGTGGATGCGCATAGCCTGATGCTACAGACAAGGTCTTGCGAGCATCGTCTCCAGAGCGAGAGGCTGGGGTGAGGTCGGATGACTCGATGTAGCCTGCTGAAGCAGCAGCATCATAGTCGCGTTCCTCTGGCGACAGAGAGATATGGATGTTGGAAGGCATATCCGACTTTACCCGAGCCTCGATAGATGGTGCTGCCATGATGGGCCGCGAATAATTGTTATTCGTGGCTGCGCTCTCGGCATGAGAGGACGATAGGGTACCAGAATTGATGTCCGGGACAGGGGGCGGTCCCGTATCATCAACAATGAGAATGGACCGGCTTCCTGTCGTGACACCACTGTGAAGCCGGCCAAGATGTCCGGAGCCGCCGTCGTGGGGATGGTGCGGCACAGTAAGAGACTGTCGAATGGCTGGGGAGTCAGGCCCTCCAAGATTCGCCACAAGCAGGCTGCTCCGACCCGACTTTTCCAATTCCAATTCCTCGGTGATGGCCCGCTTGAAGCTCTCACCAATCCTAGCAGCGAGGACGTCGACTCGGACTTGTGGCCCGGCTCGCATATGCTTCTTCAGCTTCTTGGACCTTGGCTGGCTGCTTGTTGAGGAAGCTGAATTGATCATGTTCGGATCGGACTGCCGGTTCATGATCGAGGAGGTAGCAGCCAGAGGATTCGAGGATGGTGTGCTGAGTGCATGACTATGCAAAGGGCGCGTGCTTAACGCGCGTCGTACACTGCCAATCAACTTCTTCACACTCGCATTGTTAGAGATGCCGCCCCCCATTTTAGCAGAAGAGTGGAGCGCATGCAAGGCGGCCAGATCCAGATCGAGGTTCGATGTCGAGGCCACCATGTCATTCTGTAGGCGGACATTGATGTACGGTGATCCGGGCTGGTAGACGGCCCCTCTGACCAAGCTCCCCGGCAAGACTGGAAGGGTATAGCCTTGTTTGTCGGCAGTGTCGTGATCGATATGGCCATGTGTCCGGGCACGGACATCTCTCAAAGCATCCGAGAAGCTGCCGCTCCGCTTATGATTGCTCTGTGAAGGGCGTGCGGACCTCCCGACGGCGGAATGAAGGTTGCTAGAGGGAGTCGGTACCAGTACAGGGGGTGGATTGTAAGTGGCATCACCTGGGCGCTCTGCACGATGCGTAGAGCGCACCGGGATTGAGCAAGACATGGCATGTACGCTCCTCTCGCTGGACGGCGAGATCGGCACTACGTCCTCGTGTTGTTGTTGTTGTTGTTGTTGTTGTTGCTGCTGCTGCTGCTGCTGCTGCTGCTGCTGTTGATCGGATAACGGTGGCGCAGATGTGACAAGTGACTGTTGAGGGGTGTGATTTGGGGGGCGATACGAGGCAATTTGGTTCGAGGCTAGTATATTGCCATCTGCTCTCATGGTGTCCCGCCCGAGGTTCGCAATCCCCGAATTTCGAGTCTTGGTCAGCCCTTGCTGGGCGAAGAGAAGGCAGGTCGAAGGGTCTGGACCGCCTGGTCGCAAGTCATCGTCAGGCATTTCAGTTGCCGTTGTGGGAGGACCCCAATAAGTGGCACAGGTACGTCTCCAGCATTTCTTCAGCTCGCCCATAATCTTCAAATCACCCCCTCCTCCATCCTCCCTAGCCTGTAGGCTTTTGCAGAGGCCATTGACAGAAGAACAGAACGTATCTCGCAAGTTTGGGTCCGGAACGAAATCGTCGGCAAAATAGTTTAGTATCCAGTGGCGCAGGGCGACAAAGGTTCGTACTCTGACAATTCGACCATGATCGTCAGCGCGGCTGACGGCCCATTGCAGTCTAGCCATCAGATAGGCTACTACATCGGTGCTTGTCAAGAACAAGCGGAAGCTCAAGAAGAAGTCGGACAAGAGTTCGTAGTCCAAAAAATTGGGAGAGGTAATTTGTGCTATTAGTCGTGATGGGGTAGCAGCCAGAATTCCACCTGCTGGATTTATTCGTATGTGAGCCTCGTCGTTGGGATCTGTGGTAGCAGCATCATATATTTGCGGTTCAATCGCCGCGGCGGACGCTCTGTCAGACGGCTGTACTTTTGCAGGCGGGACGGCCATTCGGTTGTATATGTGCGGTGACGAGACGGAATGCCTCTGTGACATGTATGGCGAGTCATACGACGGCCGCAGCATGGAATGGACGCCACGTCTACCTTGAGTGATGTCAGACGAACGGACGTCGTCGTTTCGAGAAGTGCGGGTATAGACTGAACTGCGAAGGATTGCAGAGCCTCCGGAGCTGAACTGAGGCGTACCCAGTCTATAGTGTGGAATTGGCACCTCAAGCACCGGCGTCTCGGTCGTTTTGGGTCTTGCATCGTCTGGTCTGTCGATGACGACCTTGAAGGTGCCAGGAGCATCAGCCGAGATGGGGGGTTTATCGGCGGTAGAAAAGGAGCGAGATCTCAAGTGAGCACGTTTGAAAAAGTTCTTCTGAATGCCTTTTGGTTTGGATGAGACGGCCACATTTGTCGGCCTCGGCGGAGACGGCGACGGAGATGGCAGGCTCGCAAGCGGCAGTGTTTCAGGCATTGAATCTACGACAACAGTGCCATCGGAGGTGTAGAGAGGTTTAACGAGTGAAGCAGAAGTGGCAAAGGTCGACGAGACGGGCGGAGAGATGAGGAATGGATCTGGCGAGGGACGCATGCGCTGATGGCCAGGTCGTACGACAGGCCTGGAAGGAAGTAGAGAGATTATTAGTCAAAGTCAAAAAGAGGCATGACGAGCGAGTCATGCAGATTTGGGGAAGGGACGGATGGGATGGAATTACCTTAGGTAGAGGAAGCCATTGTTGATATTCCCGACAGTGAAGGAGCGACCAGGACCCGAGGTATCGAGATTGCCACTGCTGGCACCTCTTGCGCGGGTTGAGCGAGCGCGGAGAGCTTCATGACTGTCTTTGACGCGTCTGAGGGAAGCGTTCCTCTCGGGACGATTGAGCTCGTCGGACAAGAGTCTCCCAGCCGAACTGGCGCGTTCACGAGAGAGCGGCGATGTAGTTGGAGCTCTGACAGAAGGCGTCAGTGCAGGACAGCCAGGATGTGGACGGTGCGTCGGAGAGGCCATAACCTTGCGCAAAGACGCGCAAGAGGTTCAGAGGACTGGGATCAGAGGTGGTGACGGACGGGTGTATGGGATGGCATGTCTGTGAGGGAGCGATATTGGATGGCAAGGGAAGAGATGGTAGGTAGTAGGTAGTAGTAGCGGGTAGTAGGGAGCTATTATGGATTATTGTATGGATTATGGTGGTGAGAAGAGAGAGAGTGAAGGATGTGTGTGCGTGTGTGCGTGTGTGTGTGTGGTGTGTGGGAAGAAGAGCAAATGGCCAGGGAAGAAGAAGAAGAAGGGATCAGGTGTTGATAGATGGCAGGACAAATCAGGCAGAAATCAGGCATCAAGTGCAAAAGAAGGTTCGTTGGGCTCGGAGGTTGAAGGGAAGTGTGGCAAGTCTGGCCGGGTGGACAGTGGAGGGTAGTAATTAGTGGCAGTATTAGTGATAGTAGAGTAGTGATGAATGGAGGGGATGCTAATTAATGACTGGACTGGCCAAGGTAGCTCTCTACTGTCTACTGTGTGCGTGGTGGCTAATTAGTAGGCATAACTAAAAGCATAGTAGGCTGCAATTACTGACGCTTTAGCTGGTCGTGGTGGTGATGTAGGCCCCACCTGCCGCCTCGCCCTAGAAAGTGCAGCAGATGGGGCAGTTGAGATTAGCAGGTAGGTTAGTAGACAGTAGTAGACGGTAGTAGGCAGTAGTAGGCAGTAGCTGGGTAGTAGAGACAGCAGACAACAGACAGCCAGCCAGCCAGCCAGCCAGCCAGTCCAGTCCACACACCAATTTACCCCGCCAGACCGCAGCCAGACCAGCCAGACAGCCAGACAGCCAGACCGACCGACAAGCCCACTGGATCACTACGACCTCGGACCAGCCAAGCACGCACCAGCCACCAGCCCCCCGTTAATTCTTTAGCCACCCAGACTACCACCACCACCGCCGCCGCCGCCGTTGAGCTGCTGCTGCTGCTGCTGCAAAATTGGCAAATGCAGGGCGCAAGTGAGGCGGCGAGGCGAGAGGCGACAGACATCATGCTACTGTACCATAATATAGCACCTATGCATGCGCTGCCGACACACAGTAGCAGTCCTCTATACCAAAGTACTGCATACTTATCCATGATCCATCAATCGCCCAGACCGGCCATCGGAGAATAATCATGCTTGTCAATCGCTTCTTTCTGTTCCCTTACTCTGCTGTTCTACTAATAGCATCATCATCCAGCCACCTCCACTCAATCCTCTCTTCTCCTTTTCTCCTTTTCTCCTACAACCTACCACAACATACATGCATACATACATACCTCCTCCTCCCAAACGCTGTTTTTCTATTACTGTACATGCCAACCACCACCAACCACTTCGTCTCCGTCCATCCATGTCCGACAAGCATATGTCATGCATCGCGCCTATACCAATGGCCCTTTCGCGCCCCGTGTGTCATGCATGGCGGCGCCCCCGGCCATGCTGAAATCTTAGATTTGACTTCCGTTCTTCATTTACTGTTGGAGTTAATTGATTCATTAATTAATTAATCAATTACTTGCTTGCTTGTTCCTACTCGCAGTTTTGATGTTTCATCTTGTTAGCCTTGCTGTAGGTGGGTAGGTAAGTATGTACTTGGGTTGCTAGAGCTGTGTCCCTGGACAGGACTGTAGTACTTGCTGCCTGAATGCTGCCTGAATACTGCCTGAATACTGCCTGAACACTGCCTGCATCCCTTAATACAACACGCTCCAGTATGGCAGCATCACGTCCAACACTCCTCTCATCTCGGAAAACTCTACCGCGTCTATTCATAGCCCATCCCTAGGATTCCGCTCCACCATGAAACTTTATCCCATCCTCTCCACCCTGAAACCCAATCCCTTCCTCCCCACCCTGCCCGCTCCTGCTCCTCTGTTCCCGCTCCACCTCAGCAAGTCCTCGCGCCGTCTGCACCTCCCACTCGAATTCCTTGAGCGCCCTCATCTCACTCCCGATAAACAGTCCTCCCATCAGCCCATCTATGATCCCAACAGATAGCCCCACCGTACTGACGAGCATCAAGATAAACGCCACAAACGGATACGGTGCCCACCACACTCCAATGTGGCAGCCGATCGAGAGCAGAAGCTGGTAGCCCATGTGTCCCAGTCGCAGCTTGCGTTGGATCTGTTCGCGCCGCATGTACTTGTGCGTCATTTCCAGTATGTCGTCGTATGTGCTTGGCGGTAGGTATTGACCTACGCTTGAGGTTTCAGGTGCACCCAGCACTGCGTCGTCTGGCGAGGAGGGCGTCAGTCGTGTCAAGGTGCATTCGACAGAGAAGTGGTCACTGAGGCTGCAGTGAAGGTCTGGATGTCGACCCGTCATGCCAACCTGAGCTGACTCGAGCGTCCATTCGGTGGACATGCCCGTGGACGATGCACTGCTAGGCTTGGGTGTCTGGCCGCCGCTGGAGAAGAATATGTAGTCAAGTCGTTTGGCGCGAGGGTCCTCCAGACTAGCATCGACGTGATGATTCCTCCCTTTGTCGAGATCCTTCTGCCGTGCCGAGTCCCAGCGCCAAGTGTTGAGAATGGAGTCACACGTCGCGCCGTTTGTGGTGATGTTGAACTCTGCAGACGGTGTAGGGACCCCTCGAGCCATCTCAACACCGTCTACTGCTGCGCCGATGGAGGAGTCGGGGTGTATCAGCCTCCACACATCACGGCATCCGGAGTGCGCTTCGATAAGTTGGTGAGCTAGTGATAGTGGTATCATGTTAAAGTCGCCCAATGCAATAACAAGGTGGCCTCGTTCGGCCGCGCCGCGCATCAACTTTGCAATCTCCCAGGCTTGGGCTGTACGGTGACAGATGTACGAGTCGTGAGGCTCACGCTCATAAGGTGCATGAAGCTGTCTGCTGTCAGCTACGGCCCCTTTTCCATCAACATCAGCATCAACATGCTCAGCTTACATGAGTGGTGAATACTTCGGCAATATCGCGTTTGCCAGCTCCCATCCTGATCCTCGCACACGCAACACCCTTTCCTACAAACCAGTCTCCACGGTAGAAAGCGGCTGGCCGTCCGTTGAGCGGGTATCGCATCATGCTGCTTTCCTCGATCGGCCATCGTGACAGGATCACCAGGCCGCCGCCGAATATGCCACTGTGGTAGAATTTCCCGTACGGTAGTATATGCCGCGTCCTTTCACGGATGGCCAGGTAGTCTTGCTGTGTCCAGCATTCTTGTAGTCCAACGATGTCCGGTTGTGGCTCTGCGTTGGCTATTTGCGTTCCAATTTCCTGAAGCCGGGCGTTGCGGTGCTTAGCTATGAACTTGAGGCCCCAGCAGTTCAGTGACAGGATGTTGAGCTTCTGCGTTGACGAAGTTGGTCTGCAGCCTGCCATTTAGCCACGTATGTATCATAGATCAGGTCGAAACCGGAAACTTCATATTGTCTCAAACCGCGGACACCTGTCTAGATCCTTGAAGGCGGAGTGACGTCGACCGCGCCAAGGCTGGGTTTTCGACGCGTCCTCCCGAGGCGCGACCTCCGCCTTTTTTTACACTGCTGTGCGCTGAAGAGGGGAAAAGTATCTGCACAAAACCAACACTGGCCTTTTTCCAGCTCCTCACTCACTCAGCAAAGGACTCTCACAACACCAGCACGATGGACAGAGAGCGCTCCCCAAAGCGCAAACGCTCGCCAGACGGCCTGGCTCGCTTCAGCACTCCCGAGCGACCACCGCATTCACCGATATCAGCACAGCAGTCCCCAGGACTCCAACCACGCAGCTTCCTGGCTGCTGATGTTGAAGAACCCCAGTTCGACGATGTCCAGGCAGCCTATCATCAACAACACGAAGAATTGCGTCAGAACGAGGTCTACGAGTCACGATCACCCTCCGTAAACGGCATTCAGAAGTCGGCTTCCCCGCCGAGGGAACGACAACTAGGCTATAAACCGAAGCTGATACTGCGGGGTCATAAGAAGGGCGTTGCGCAGGTCAAGTATTCGCCCGACGGGAGGTGGATTGCAAGCTGCTGTGAGTGGTGATATCTGTGAGCGACTACAGGATGCTACTAACACGTTTGTCAAAGCTGCGGATGCTTCGATCAAGATATGGGACTCGACCACCGGGTCACTACTGCAGACTCTGGAGGGCCATTTCGCAGGCATCTCATGCATAGCATGGGGTCCTGATTCGAAGACTATAGCTTCTGGCTCAGACGACAAATCTATCCGACTCTGGGACGTCGAAACTGTGCGCATTCCTCAGTGGCTTTGATTGTTGAAATATCGCTGACACCATGATCCTAGGGTAAACCTCACAAGACCGCCTTTACGGGCCACCACAGCTATGTGTACTCCCTGTCGTTCTCGCCAAAAGGCAACATGCTCGTCTCTGGCTCCTACGACGAAGCCGTGTTCCTTTGGGACTTGCGGACCGCAAAGCCAATGCGATCTCTGCCCGCGCACTCGGATCCCGTCGGCGCCGTGGACTTTGTGCGTGACGGCACACTCATCACGTCCTGCTCCAGCGACGGGCTTATAAGAGTCTGGGACACGGCAACGGGACAGTGTCTACGGACGCTCGTCCACGAAGACAATGCGCCCGTGACAAGCGTGAAGTTCAGCCCGAATGGGAAATACCTGCTTGCCTGGACACTGGACAGCTGCATGCGGCTGTGGAACTACGTCGAGGGCAAGGGCCGCTGTGTCAAGACGTACCAGGGCCATCTCAACCGCAAGTACGCCCTCTCGGGATGCTTTGGCGTGTACGGCACGAAGCCATACGAGTCTGCCTTTGTCGCGTCTGGGAGCGAAGACGGCCGCATACTGCTCTGGGACGTCAGCAGCAAGATCCTTCTACAGAGTCTAGAAGGCCATAGGGGCCCGGTCATGAGCGTGGACAGTCACCCTGCGGAACGCGCTATCGCCTCGGGCGGACTGGATCGTACGGTGCGCATATGGCGAAGTGACGAGCCGATTGAGCAGACTTTTGCGCACGAGCAGTTGGCCGACGAGACGAGCGAGGAGGTGCCTCCGGATATGAGGGCGGAGATGGCTGAGATGGCTGAGATGGAACAAGCTGCTCAAGAGGATCGGGAGCAGGGGTCGGAGCAGGAGATGGAGGTTGACGGATGAGCATATGGACGAGACATTCGTCAGTTCTAGTGAGACCTCGTTCAGACTGGAGGACTACAAACGTATAGAGCCACGGTGGAAGATGCAGTCTGTCTGTCCTGTCCCGACGCGGTGTGGACTTGACAGGGTTAAGAGATGGGTACTGCCCTTGGCTTGGAGAGCCTTGAATGTCGTGCTACCCCTAAGCACCTGCTATACACCCGCCCGCCTGAGAAGGATCCCATGTCAAGCGTCAGGTCGTGCCTTGAATCACGTCCTCCTATCTGTTGGTCCAGGACCATATCCCTACGCACAACAATACACGAAACGCTATAGTCCTACCCATTAACACAACACATAAAGCCAACGCACGCACCCACCAGCCGCTTCTCCCACCTCGCACCCACCGCCGCCTACCATCAAGCCTCGTCCAATATCCCTTTCCCAGTCACACTAGCTCCCTCCGCCCCTGACTCTAACACGACGGTCCTCGTACGTCCTAACAGGAACAAAGTCGTGCGTCCGCGGACATGGAATGGAAATACTACCTCTGATCAAGAAAGGACGAGCTCAGGAGGTTGGTTCATCGACCCAAACCAGTCCGAACCGTGCTCATGCCAGACAGGCCACACGTCTCATGGTCATGCTATCTCTCTCTCTCCCTCCCACATGAGATGTCCACAAGCAATTTCCAAGAAGGAAACTGCCGTACTAGAGCTGTAGTTAAGAGGGGATGGAGGTATGGATGCATAGGCGAGGTATATATATATACAGACATATATACATCAATCAGTAGATCATGTAGATAATGTAGATAAGGTAGATAAGGTAGTAAAGGAAGTAAATGGAAGGTAAATGTCACCGAAGTATGCGCCATGGTACTCCCGCTTTCGAAATAACACTCGTTTTTCTTTTCTGATTCTTAAAATTCCCTTTCTTGGCTTCGTATGAGCTGTGAGGTGCCTTGGTACTGGAGTATGCTGGTGGGTTGGGAGTCGGTATATGTATGGGTTTGTAGAGTGGTTCGAGGTGGGATGTGTGTGTGTATCTATCTATCTACCTCGTCACACTGAACGTGCTTTGCTTACATCGCTAGCTATCTATCAATCAATCTATCAATCTATCAGACGTTGTTGTGTTGTATTATGCCATGTTATACTATGTTATGTTATGCTATGTTATACAACATCATACTTTCGCAGGCGTAGAGGCAGTACGAAGAAAGTCCTACTAAGAGTTGTTTTGGTTCTTTCTTGTTTGTAGTAGGTAGACTTGTAGGCTCTTGTGACGCCGTCCTGTCCGTTTCGTTCTGTTCGTGGTTGATTGATAAGAGATGGTTGATAGATGGTTAGATGGATGGTTAGATGGATGGTTAGATGGATGGTTAGATGGATGGTTAGATGGATGGATGGATGGTTAGATGGATGGTTAGATAGTTGGTTAGGTGAATGGACAGACACTTTGTTTTTATTTGCTTCTTGCCATTTGCTTCTTGCTTGATTGATTGCAATATGGGCGTGCTATGCTGTGGGTGTTGTATGCTGTGAGTGTTGTATGCTGTGAGTGTTGTATGCTGTGAGTGTTGTATGCTGTGAGTGTTGTATGCTGTGAGTGTTGTATGCTGTGAGTATGCCATGGATATATCGTGCTATAGATATATCGTACTATAGATATATCGTGCTATGGATATATTTTCGCCACTTACTGCGTGTGTTCTACTTGCTGGCTGTTTTCTACGTACTATGTACTGCGTGCTATCGAGTACTGATATCTACTACCTACTACCTACTACCTACTTAACTACTTACCTACTTACCTACTTACCTACTCACTAACTCACTAACTCACCATTACTTCCTCTTACCTACCATCTGCCTCTCCAGTCCCAGTCCCAAACACCAACACCAACAAGACCAAAGGGCCCCAGAAAATCCAAACCAGATAAACAGGGCGGAGATATTTTCGTTCGTTTGTCTGTTCTGTGCGTCTGTTCAGCATAATGAGGCGAGGTAGTGTGTGTAGTATGTATAGTGTACCAGAGATGATGCTATGTAGTTGGTTTCAAAGACCGGGGGTGGGGGAGGGTAGAATGAAGGATGATGATAGACATGGAGGAGAGACAGGGAGGATAGACAGGGAGGGGGGGGTGAACACCTGTTCCTGAGGATGTATTTTTGAGTGTATTCTTGTATGTATCGATGTATGTATGTATGTATTCGTCCGTAACATTCAGAATCCATCCATCCACTCCCTTCATCCACCAGAAACGGTCAACGAAAGACGGGACAAAAACCAACCGGACCCATCTCCGTGCGCTGCTAAGCCAGAACCAAAGCCCCGAAACTCCATAATGGAAGCGAAACGACCCTTGATGACGTAGGCAGTATCTACACGGACACACAAAGTACCCTCCATCCAGACCTTCGCCGCACCAACAAATCCCCCTCTCGCCCCCTTTTATCGGGGATTCATCTTCCTCTCTCTTTCTCTCTCCTTACTATCTAATGAGTCCTGACTCGAATTCCAAGAAACCGGTACAAGAAACGATGTATTTAGTTAAATATTTCTTTAATTAGTTCTTTAATTAATTTTCTAGTTTGTTATTTACCTAGTTATTCAGCCACCCACCCAGTCCAGTCCAGTCCAGTCTAGTGCATCCCAGGCAAGAAAAGAGAAAAAAACCGTTTTTGAACCCGAGCGCGCAAACCCACTCGCCTCACGATCCCCAGCGCCGTGGAGCGCAGACGCGCGCATCGGGAGTCCTCTAGCCACTTGGTACGCACCCGGGCGGGCGGTCGGGCGGGGATTTTTTTTAACCCCCTCCTTCCTTTGCCGAGGGGGGGCTAATTGTGAGGCGTTTAAGAAGGAAGTTGAGCGAGGGAGTGAGGCGTAGGCTGCCACGTGCTGGTTAGTGGGAGTTTTCTTGGTGTCTGCTAAGCTGTGTTTGGTATTCGGGGGTTTTTTTTTGGTAGTTAGTTGGTTAGTTAGTTGGTTAGTTAGTTGGTTAGTTAGTTAGTTGGTCGGACGGTCGGTGGTGAAGATGATAGTGTTGGCCTTGCGAAGGCCGCGCGCGGATCTTTGGAGTGCCGAGGGAGGGGGCAGACTAGACTTGGGGTAATATGACTCGGAGGGGTTTGCACGGTAGCGGTTTGAGATGTGCGACAAGGGGGGATTGACAGGGGAGATGATGCGGTTGGGACCGAGGGGGCCTGGCGGGATGAGATGAGATGAGATGAGATGAGGCGAGGCGAGAGATGATTGTTGGTGTTGTTTGTGGGCTTGCGTGGTATCATTGCGTGCGGGTGGGACAGGCGAAAGGGTCTGGATGGGAGGAATCAGCATGCTTGCTGTAGCGAGGTAGGATTCGAGCAACGTTGACAAGTTTTCTCGTATTGAAGCCAATGCTTGTGATAGACACACGTTCGCAGCCAGGCGAGCACAGTCAGGCAGCATCGTGCGATAAAAACCCGGGTGGATGCAGTGGTGATCGGGTGATGTCGGGATGCAATACCGACTTGCGTTGTCTCTGTTGTTGTGGTGCTATGAATGGCCGTAGCGACGCCATATCGGTTCAATTCAGACATGCTCTGGATATGGTGCTTCATTTATCTATGTTGGTGTGCGCCATACGGGCAGTTGTGCTTCGAGATACAGGCGGGCGTCTGCCGATAGAGCTTGCAATGGTCTTTCTTGATTTGTTGTACGACACTCGCGTTTCTTGCAGTAGCACTCGACGTGCGCCGTTTTATTAGGTATGGCAACGTGTGATGTATTATGCCTTTCGTTGTCGCTCGGCTTGCGGTTTCATGAAATTTATGAATTCGCGATGCGGAATATCAGGAACGACGACGGTGGAAAATGTGCACTGAGTCGCCCATTGCTCAGAACGAAAACGGTCGCATAACATGTCCGGCATGTACACATACCCTTGTATCCATTCCCAAACCTAGACTCGACCTTGTATACGTGCTGCGCTGCCTCGTAGTCTTCTAGGCTTGAATCTGGCTACCACCAGTCGACTTCCAAGCTTTTTCCTTGTAGCTGTAGTTGAGATGGACTCGTGGATATGTCTACTATTCTCATCGATGCTGCCACCATGTTAGCGGCTCATGCGGAGATTTTCATAGCATCAATAGTATGCGCATTATAGTATACTAGCCGTGAGTCTGGATAGTGACGTCTCGGCCTCAGGTCTTTGGGTCGCGGGACGGACGGACGGGACGGCCCCCGGGGCGGCAGTGGGACGGCGTGTCTCTCGCGCCCTTTGAGAAGCATGTCACGTTCAACGACAATGGACATCATTCTGAGCCGACCTACTCTTGTAATTCCAGCAACTTGGTATGCTGGACATAGCAGACAACTGCCTTCATTTGGCGGTGTCTGGACGAAAGAACATTCTCGTCGCGAGCGCAGCAGCGGTGTGAAGCCTGCGACCAGCAGTATCAACACGAAACAAGGCACAGGCCCAGGATCTGTCGAGTATACAGTTGCATCGCCATGGGAGTTCGTTGGTTGTCCGCGAAGACAGGTTTGCTGGCAGCGCTTGCAGTGCAGCAGTGCGCATTGTATGCTTGTAGGTCTGCATGAGCCTTGTCACCGCTGTTTGCGGCGGTGAAGTCGTGGCCCGAAAGCATCACAGTTGTCCTGTATACTCGGTGGCGACCTAGATCACAGGCTGTATCTATCCTCCGACACAGCGTTTGAGCAACGAGGCGAAGAGACGGACAGTGCAAGGACATGTGCGATCATGACGGGAATGTTACAACGCGGAATAGCCGGAGGATAAGCGAAAACAAGCCCGGCGATGCGATATCAGACTTTCGAGAGCCGGCCGTGTCAGAGCTGGTACGTAAGAGTTTGAAGATGAGAAATGGACGTAGATAGCAAGCCGCAGGCAATCCGGGGATGATTAGTATTCCAGGGTAGATCTTATACCTCGTTGTACAGATACCAAGGGTATCTCATCCAATAGTTACGACAAGGCGAGTAGACTGTTGTGTGACGTGCAGCATGCAGCTGCGATGGCGCCAGCATTGGAGAGAGAGTGTGCGGCTCCAAACTGCAGCAAGAATGTGCGAGCACAACGGGATCACGACAGCCCAATCGTGGGTGGGTATAGGTCAGAAGTGCATATATGATACGAGCTTGCCGGGAATAATAATACATGGTACTATTTTATTACATATGCACAAACACAATGACACGTCTCCGTCTCGTCCTCGTGCTCGCGCTCGTGCTCATGCTTGTCATCTGGCGGGAATGGCGCATCACGTACATGTAAACAGAGGTAGTACCAGCCGGCACGGACTCAAGTCAGGACCATCCAGATCTCGGACGTTCCGATCGAAAGGCCCATCTGCATGACATGATCGGATGCGCACCGCCTCCCGCTCGTATCCGCGCACGAAGGGCACGCGTTAACGGCAAGGATGTTTTCTAATATAGCACTGCCGAAAGAAACGCAAGCAATAGGAAAGGGGGGGAGATGTGTGTGATTGGGGAGAATGAGACGACAAGCAGACGAGAGCTCGCAAGCCTGGCCCGGAGCAGTGGACGTGGCTTCGCGTGGAACGGGGAAAGCGAAAAAGAATGGGGCGCCACGGCGGCTGATCGGCGACGTCAAAAAAAATATAAAAGACCCCAGTCCTGGCCTGCAGCAGTAGTGGCTCTTTGCCCAACCCCCCCGGGCGTTGGAGCGTTGTGATTCATCTGCCATCCCCCCGGGGGATCTCTCTCTCAGCTGTACATGACAATAGGTTCATTGCAGGTATGCATGTGCTTCTGAAACCGAATGAGGCGCGGACGGACTTGGAGCCGGAGAGAGAAAAGAAAAAAAGGACTAAACAATTGTAGAAATAAAATGTGCTCTCGCGGGTGTGGCGCTTGTATAGCAGATGAGGGATAAGACGAGAGAGCACGCCATGTGCACGCCGTTGGTTCTGAGAGAGAGACATAGAGGCGAGCATATTGCCAGAATTGTGTAACATGTGTTGTTGCTGGGGCGATCCTTGCCGCTCTATGGGCAAAAGAGTGTTGCCATGCAGTAGCCACGGTATTGATGAGGGCCATTTGACAAATAGTATACATACACACGTACATAAATACGTAAATACATACATACATGAGACCGGATCTCCTAAGTCCCTCATCTAAGAAGGGGGGGGGGAGGGGGGAGGGGAGGAGCACTCTAAACACTGTAATTAATTCACATACAACATCTGGGGAACCTCTCCACTATCACGCAATGTAGGGGCATAGTCAAAGGAGGCAGGAGGCAATGCCATAACACTAGTTCTGAACGGCCAGACTCGCCACAGAGCGAGCGAGTCTGTGGATGTTTACTTTTTACCTCGCGCTCCCCTGCTCAAACATACTCCTGTCCGACAGTATACTTGAATCAATGACGGATAGACTCAAGAATATGTCAAGAGCGATTGCCACTTTGACAGGAACAGCACAATATGCCCTTCATTAGCAATTAAGAACAAGCATTTGCAGTTACACAGAGAGTACTGTGGCCCGTCCATAAGCCCAAAGATCTGGCGGCAATATTCTGCAGATCGATCTTCCATCGCGCTTCCTTTGCTGCAAGCCACCACGGACTGGTCCCTCGTCGTTCCTCGTGGAGTGTGCATGTGCATACTGGTTTATTCCAAGCTTCCATAGAGATAGATCTGTACCTACGCAAAGACCTCTGAACCTCTCTTGACGAATCGCAAGCCAACTTTTTCATTGCCCGTCATCTGTAATGTAACACGGCTTTGCATGTTCGTTTTGAACAAACCTTCCGCTCTCGACAGTGCCTTTTGCCACACCGTCTTGCGTTCCGACTCACTCATGCGCTGGACCGTCTCGTCATCTGCCCATCGATCAACCGCCAGTTCAACGCTATACTCGCGGAATATGTACGTCAGCACGGCCAGCGTCTCCACTTGCGCGAAACGTCTGCCGAGGCAGGACCGAAATCCTTCCGAGAATGGGACGTACGCTCCTTTCATGGGCTTGAACAATTGCGCCGACGTGTCTGGACCGCTCGGACCACCGTCATCGTGTTGTTCAAAATCTTCTTCGTTGTTGTGGTTGGATGTGGCGCTGGCGTCGACGATCCAGCGCTCCGGTCTGAATTCGTTCACATCGTTTGGAGACGTCTTGCCTGTCTTGGCATCTACTACGGGAGGCCAGTATTTGGGGTTGCGATGTAGGCCCACGCTGTTCACCGCTATCGAGCAATCGCCAGGGACAACTACGCGTTTTCCGCCCAAGGTGAGTGGCTGTGGAAAGCCCGGAGGGGTGCTCTTCGGTATACCGACAACTGCTGGTAAGAGGCGCAGCGTCTCATTCATCACCGCAGCAGGCATACCGCCAAACAGCTTTGGGAAGTCATCGTCGTAGTTCCAGTCACTCAAGTCTTTGTTGCCGAGAATTCTGTCAATGTCTGCCTGCAGGGCACGTTGACTCTCAGGATTCATGGCCAAATAGGTCAATGAGTATGCGATTGAGTTTGAAGTAGTTTCGTGACCGGCGCTTGCATGTGATGAGCAGCTACGTTGAGCGGTAGAGTGGTCAACTTACAGGATGAACACGAACATGTTCCCAGCAATCTCTTCCTCAGACAACAATGCAGTCTTTTTTGCCCCAGCGTCCGCGATACCGGACCCTCGAATGAGCGAGCCTGTACATTGGCCAGTTAGTTACAAGCTGCGAGCAGGTACAATGATCGGCATAAATTCTTACCCAAGAGATCCATTCCATCAGTGTTTGAATCTTGCCCAGATCGTACTTCAGTCAGCTTAGCCTGGTAGAGCTCATTCATATACATGCCCCATTCCTTGCGGCATAGCACACCTTCATGGTGACTCTTCCAGGGAGAAATTGCTGTGCTACAGTCAGTTTCGATACCAATGCATTACGTGACTGCATCTTTGTACCCACCTGCAAACCACTTAGGCACGATGACCGCCCAGATCAAGTTGTCTAAAAGTCCTGCCAGAGCATCTTTGTATGAAAGCTTATGGTCACCTTCCGGCGTGCTCCCCGCAAAGCCTTTCAGCTCTACACCTTTCTTTTTCGCCTCTTCTTCTTCGTGTGGCCATTGTACGCGCACGCCAAAGCCAGCGCGGCTGATGACATGTAGCGCAAGTCTCATCGTCGCCTCGGTCACATCCTGAACAATCGCTGCATCTTTACCACCAGTCCAGGCTTTTAGCATCTCCTGCGCCTGGTAAAGACTTTCCTTCCAAACCAAGGTATTGTTCTTTTCGCCAAAACTTGGTGCGCTGATCTTCCGATGCTGTCGCCACATGGACCCTTCAGTAGTGACTACATTGTCTCCATAAATGTTGATATTCTTGTACATCCAAGCTGGCTTTGGAAAGTCATTGCGACGGGTTACGATTTGAGCGGTCGCTTCGGCGTCTGCCACGATAAGGAAATTGGCTCGTGGGGTGACAAGCAACAGCAGATCGAAGTCGAGATTCTCGAAGGGAGAATAGCCTCGAACGTACATCCATTCAGGTTGAAGATATCTATCAGAATGTCACCATGTCAGTGGCAGACCGGGTGCAATAAATATCATCACCTAGGTATAATACAGCGCTGCGGGGAGAACAAGACTTACTGCAGCCATGGTGACGTCAATGCTGTCGGTAATTTGTTCAGCAGGGGAACCATGGAGCGACTTCCAATGAGCCAGAGCACATTGTAAGGGTATATCGGCACGCTGACATATGGAATGCCCGACTTCTTCGCTTCGACAAGGTTCCGCGCATAGCTCTGATACGTCTGTACGAAGTAGAAGGTGACAAGGCCTAGCAAGGCAAGGCCGAGAATGGTCAACATGGCTGCAGGGCATGCAACGTTTCACAAGACAATATAGCCGGCCTGCGGGATGGAGAGATGAAGATGTAGAAGTGAAATGCAACGATATCGTCGAGAGTGAAAAGTCGAGAGCGATAAAACTGAAAAGATGACAGAATGATGATCTCTCTCATGCGTCGCGCGGAGCTTCGCTGAGCCGGTCGCTAAAGCAAGTACAAAGCTTGGTATCGATTGACTTAGTCAAGTATCAGTTTTGTGTGCGGGACCCAGGTACAGGTACAGGCACAGGTACAGGTACAGCTTCAACGTTCGCCAACATGTTCACGACGTGCTTCTTGTGAGAAGGGCGCCGCCCGGAATCGTAGGGCTGCCACAACAAAGACTGGGAAGCCTGGTGTGATGTAATAGTCATTGGTATGATACGTACAACAGTAGTAGGTACCTAAGTGGTTGTCATTGGACACTGAAACCCTTTTTTCACGTGACTCTTAGGAACTCCTGGGAATGCGCATCGCTCATAGTGGCCAAACATTGCAATGTGATGGGCTGGATGTTGAGGTGAAGAGAGTATTGCTTCGAGCAAATCCCGAGGAGTTGGAGCGGACGTGCGAAGACTAATAGACTCGTGAAGGAATGCTGCTCGTAGACTTGCCATTCTACCTCGATAACAATACAAGTAATAAAACCTCATGAACGGATCTAGCTCGAGTTGGCACGAATTATTGCATTCAGACAGCCACTATACGGCCATGCCGTCTTGATAAGATGAGCATCAAGGACGGAGAAGGGTGGAGTGTGACGAGTGAAGTCTGAATTGCTAGGCGTATAAAGGATGTCGAGTATGGGCTGCTTCGACGATGTCTCTGCTTATTAGCGATAGACGAACGGGATCTCTCTTTTAATTTGTGGCGTCAAGAGGCGTGCGCGGATGAAGCAGACAATTAAAGGGAAATGATCGGTTTGATTGGATGCGCGTGGCACATTTTCAGTGTAGAAAGCCGTCTGATGCTTTGCAACAGAGAGAGGCAAGCTACCTTAGCTAGTGAACAAGTCTGTCAAAGGTATGTATTAGTCCGCTGCGTGGGCTGTGAGTCAGGCCTTGGGGACGGCTAGCGAGTCTAGACCAAGCAATATCATGATCAAATCTTGATGGAGTCAGGATCTGCTAGAAAGGAAAGTGAAGGTGCAATTAATTAATGCGGAGAATGTTATAGCTAACCAGGTAATAAAGATGGATGGCGACGCGAGGCAAAAAGTCGAAATGAGATGAACGTTGGGCACTTGTGTTGTTCACATGTTACTATTAGTTTGGCTTGCTGCCCAAGAGGATCCTCCATGATGGATGATGAGCGAATCACGGGAAGCTAAAGTAGGCAAGAGAGTAGCCGTTTCGAGACGATGGTTGGTAGGATTCATTAGTTGATTTGGGGCAAGGCATCTACTTCCATACTTGTTGGCATTGCGACGACGTTGTATGGAAAGGAATATTCTGTCCGTGGTAGCTAGACGAGATAGAGATTGAGTTGAACTGCCGTCTGTGAGGAATTCTGCCGATGAATTGATGCCTGGCACTAATTATGGGCTGCTGACCAGGGGGGACTTTACAACAATGGAACTTTTGGAATATGTACACCTCCCTTGTCTATGTTACAGATTGGACGTTTAGAAGGAAGCAAGAAAGAGCGATTGTCTATTGCAGTCGGGAGATATCAATGCTCCTGCCCGAGGAATTCGCAAACTTGTAACAGTCAGAGATAGTGGTACATCCATGGATGACAAGTATCCCGGGATATGTCGCACGTAACACATAGCACGTAGCATGTAGTACGAAGTACGGCATACTCTCCAGCTTGGGGCAAGTCGACTCAGCCTCGGTTTTCTTCATGGCAATCTACAGGTCATAGCAAAACGGCGGCGGTGAGTTAGGGTGGTGTGGTCAGCACGGCAAGGACCGCAAGTTCAACCGCACGGGCGGGAATGGTATAGTTCATGCGAATGGTAACGTCTCACTACCTAGAGCTAGCAGGGACGGTTCTGAGGTAGGGGAGATGGAGATGAAAGACTGACGGTACAGGGACAAGGACGACGACGAGGTTCTAAACTACTTTGCCCTCATGTTTCCGAGACACTCTGTCTCGAAAAGGGTTAAGCTGCACATGGGCGTTGTCCTCTGGCGCGCCTTGTGCGTAGTGGCCTTCCGTAGTGATGGCTGGTGCGCTGACTGCGGTATTGAGCAAACGGTCAGCAGGCTCAGGAGACGTGATGCGATTCGTTTGTCTCTTTCAAGGCTTCGAGGCTTTCGACTCCTTGGACACGGATGATGACAGACCGACCGCTCATGTCGTGGACTCATCACACATGGTTGATCATGGCCTATTCGGTCTGTGTCTTGACTTGTTATGTACATATCTACACTGCAGCTGCCCGGTTCAACTTGGTGGCCATGGTGAAGCAGCATTTCAAATCCAAGAATGTTGATTTTTCTGTGTATAGTGCCCGTTGACAGAACATGCCGAGGGGCACAGCCCGGGGAATCCAGGGCGAAGGGTCTATCTATTTGATAGTCCCGGTGGCAGAACATTCGATGCATGACATGTTTAGACGTGTGCCTCAAAAAGACATTTACCGTTGTTGTGCAGTTGTGACAGGGGCTTCACATTGGCAGTGATGGGCGACACCAAGGGCACGGGTCTGGGATCACGTAGCGCAAACCCTGGACGGCACAGACAGGACAGACACACACCAAACACCAGCACAGACAGATGGGGTGGAGACATTGCCACACACGGGACGATGCAGGATGAGGCGGAGGAGAAGGAGAGGTGGTTAACATGAACCAGTCGAGAGAGCGGATGGGTGCACCTAGACAGTCATGTAAACAAACTACAACGGTACTAATACATCGTACATGTGTGCAGGTCTAGGGCGTAGAGGGAGGGGTTGGCTCGGGTGGTGGCTGGATAGCTGCGTAATGTACAGTCCAGGATGCGCATATCAAAGTCTGTTGCAGTAAGGTCAGGTCAGGTCCAGTGTCTGAAGTACTACATCCATCTACGTACACATAGCAATGACAGCATGTTGGCATTGTCCCAAGAACCTAGCCGGACAATTAAGGGAGAGCCTGGAGGACGAGTAAGTATGTATGGTAGCTGCAGGCGGCTGATCTGTATATACGTCTGCATCTACATCTACTTGTCCATCTACATCTGCATCTGCACCCACATCTGCGTCTGCATCTGCATCTGCAACCGCATCTGTCAGACCACCTGGTCGGCACTGCTACTGGACGTACTCGACCGGTGGATGCTATTTCTTTTGGGCTGGCACTGGCAATTTGCTTTCGTCGGTGCCGTGGGCCGGAGTAGTCCGGCGATCATAGGGCCCTCACGTAGTAGCTTATGTGCCAGCTAATGTGTTCTCTTGTTCTCGTGCTGTTCTGGTGCTGTACTAACATGTAGTGGATTAAATGACCCCGACCAGGACGAATCTTTTCGGGCACTAATGAGCGAATAAGGATAAGGAGGATGAGAATTGATAGGGTGAGGTCTAGGGTGAGGTTTAGGGTGATTACTACTCAGAAGTTAGCAAGGCTTGCCTGAGACGTGTGTGCGCCACCTGGGCAGTTTTCTTTTCCATAGCTTAGTCCGACGGCGCAAGCCAGTGCCAGCCAGCCATCACTGCTCCGGTTCACTGCTCACTACTGGCCGTAACAGGGAAACACACTCCACCCTACGCCCTCCTGAGTCCTGAATGGGACGTGGTATGACGGGATGGGGTAACCTCGAGAAGCCATGCTCTAGAGAAGCCAAGTAGAGCATGGCCATAATATAATGATAGATGTTCTAATCACCAAGTGCCATCGCTCCCTCACTACGGCACTACGTCTCTCTGGCCGTAAAGCAGGCATAGATGTCGCGGTGCAGACGACAAGGACAAGGACAAGGACCAGCACAGCACCAGGACCAACAAGACAGTATCTCAAATCGACAACACACATGGTCACCATCTTAGTCTAGGAGTAGCATCAACTGCTATCAACACTACTACTGTTACTACCACTACGTGCCTAAGTAGTAATACAGCACTCTGATCCGTTGAGGCGATCATTCCGAAGCTTCCTTCAGCCTTCCCACGCGCTCGGCTTGGCAGACAGGGTAATCAAGCGCTGCGCAGGCAGCTAGTTGGCGGTAAGTGAGTAAGTCGCATCACTGTCATTGGTGGTATTCGCGGTAGTGGTGGTAATATTAGCAGACACGGGCTATGGGTATCAGTGGTAAAATTAGTGGTGGTATCAGTGGTATTAGCGGTATTACTGGTATTAATGGTATCAGTAGTATCGGTGCCTAAGGTGATATGATCCAATTCCTGCCTTGTTAGCCTTATTGGCTGTCTTCCCTAGGTACTGAACTGACTAGCCCTACTATTCTCCCCACCCTGTCACTGAAAACTAACGCGCCCTCTTTGCTCTTTGCTCTTTGCTCTACGTTTACTTTTTCCTTTCCCTGCTTACCTAGTATTCTTATCCCTAGCTCCTTCCTTTACTTTTACTATCTACCATCTCTTTCAACCCTTACCGTAGTTACACGTTCCGCGCTGTAATATTCTATCATGTATTACTTACCGTATTGTAAGTGCCCCTAGACCATAGCCTGCACATTCTCCCACTGCACCCCCCCCCCTTCCTTCTCCTTCTCCTCCTCTAACTTCTCTCTCCCTTCTCTCTCTCTCCTCCCCCCCCCCCTCCCTTCTTCTCTACTCCCCCCCTCCTAGTATACATACATAGTGGCTAATCTTCCTCCCCTCTCTACTAGAACGAATAGACGGAACTAAACTCCAAACGTAGCTCCACTCCACTCTATCTCTAGGATCACTTCTTGTACCTTGTCAAGCTACCTAACGCCCGCCCCTCCTCGTTTCTTCTTTTCGAAAAAAAAACACATCCCGACGACACAACGACTTTTCAGTATACTACTGTCCCAAAAAAAAAACACCCCTCTCCTCCGCTCTCGTTAGTGAGCCCCAGCTTCTGCTCATTTTCTTTCGCTACCACCTCTCTTGGCTGACCTGCCCCGTGCCATCTTTAACGCCTTCGCAACCAGGCCATCTATTTCTTGTCAACCTCATGCATCGTGCCAATGACGCACCACCACCACCACCACCCTGACAATAACACCAGAGCATAGCTTTGTTCCTGCTCTGTTCTCGAAACTCCCTCATCCCGCCCGATCGGCCTCGCGCTCCCTGTCATTCTCTTTGCTACGCTCGAGCCTGTTCACCGCTTGTCTCCAGGCATCCTGTGCACTTTGCTCCGCCTATGGCCCAACCGCTTCTCGCATATTCATTCCTTTACTCCACGGCCATAATGAAAACTGAGGGACCAGATTCTCACTTTCCTCCCTCTATCCCACGTGGTGATGGCCCGTCCTACAAACCTGATCCCGATGCTGGCCCTACCCACACTCCCCATCCATATCAACAGGACCAGGACTCTCGGTACGCCCCGCCCCATTCTCAACGTCCATATCCGTACCGTCCATCGCCTCCCATTTCACATACTACTTCTCATTCTGGCCAAACAACGCCGCAACAACAATCATTCGCTCCTCCGCCCGCTTCTCAATATCCTTCTGATCCCAGGGCTCTTCCTCACCCTCCTCTTCAACAGGATCAACAACAACTTCATCACCATCACCATCAACAGCAACAGCAACAGCAACAGCAACAGCAACAGCAACAGCAACAGCAACAGCAACAGCAACAGCAACAGCAACAGCAACCACTTGGTCATGTAACTCCCATAGCTCCATCTCAAGCTTCATACGGGCATTCACAGCATCCCAACCCTCACCTTACCCTTTCCCATACACCTGCCATATCTCGCTCTCCAGAAGGAGACCATCATCATCACCATCACCCACCACGAGAACACAGACCTCATCTATCAGGCCCTCCTCTTTCAGTTCCTCCTCTCTCGGCTTCTACTGTAGGTCCTTCTCCTGTAGGCCCTTCTCCTGTCGTTCCTCCTCCCTCAGGTCTTCCCACTTCGGAGCCTGGCCCTGGTTTCGTTACGGACTCGCAACCTCTTCAATATCAGCCGCCCGCAGCACCTCAAGTTGAACATCGTCCGGTCATGTACGATCCCTCACAGCACAATGGTAACGGGCATCACTATGCCCATGCGCCGCCCAATCACAATTACTCTGCTCCCTCTATGACTCCTGCGCATTCTTCTTACGGGGTGTCACCAATCGCTACCCAGAATGCATACTGGCCTGCAACTTTGTCCACCAAGAAGCGCACAGTTCGCGCTCAACAGGTGCGTCATGCATTCGTATTCAGAGTAATCTAGACTTATGAGACTAAACCATTCGTAGGCCTGCAAGAATTGTCGTCTTCGAAAACAAAAGTGTGATGAAAATCGACCCTGCTTGTTCTGTAAAGAACAGAATATCGAGTGTGAATATGCGGAGGTTCCCCCTCAAAAGTAAGTTTGCAAAGCAAGCGTGGCAATCATCGATTAACAAGCAAAGGGCCGACAAATCATTTCAACTAGTCATGGAGAAGTTGAACGCTATACAGGAGAAAGGTGAACAGATTGAAGCAAGCTTGAACCGCAGATTGACTCGTCTCGAAAACGGTCCGTGCGCAAATGGCACTCATTCTCAACCAGCACCCCCAAATCATCCACAACAGTATCAACATCAGGATCAGCAACAACCCCAGCAACAACACCAGTACCGGCGAGAGCTAAATGACTTCGATGAGCATAGAACCGCTGCTCATTACCTCTTGAAAACATGGCCAGCCATGGCAAAGTATTTCAATTCCATTGTGCCTCTCTTGGAGAATTACCCCCTTAAGATTGAAGAGGATCGGGGTAGTCTACGGATATACGGTCGGGGTGAAGGTCTAACACATAACGACCGGGCGCAGCAAGTTGGTAGTCCCGCGGGCAGCGAAGCCGACAGCGAAACTCTGTCGTTGTCTTCTACGTCAGACAGCGGCCAAGCTCCCTATGGTTATAATGATAAGGCGAATCGCCTCGATTTTACGCCAACCACGGTTAATAGACTTCTCGCGAGTTATCTGGATCATATGCATGTCTTGCATCCTTTCCTCGATAAAGCACGGCTAAAGAAACAGGTGGACGCATTTATAGACAGAATGAACCCTCCAGCCAGTACAAAATCTCCCCTACCCATTCCTCAGCACCTTTCAGATCATCATCGACCGACGAAAAGACAGAGAATGGATGTCGATGAGGGCGAGCCCACCACCGTTCCGATCTACGCACGACCTGCACAAAGCCATGTTCGGCCTCCAAAGGCTGAAGGGACCATAACGAATGCAATCATCCTGCTTGTACTTGCATTGGGCGCAGTTCTGCATGAAGATAGACCGCTCAGGGGTGCCCTCAACACTCGCAAGGAAATTGCCGAGTCAATCCACTCTCCTTCGACACGAATGCGATATTCACCTGTAACCTCTACAGGTCTTCGGTCGCCCGTCGAAGACAAAGATCCAGGCAGCCCAGCACGCTTAAATAAGGAACTGATGAATCTAGACGTTATTCCTGGTCTACACTACTATGCGTATGCGTCCGATATCCTTGGAAATATGCACGGTGGTAACGAACTTTACCATGCTCAGGCGTTTCTACTAGCGAGCCTCTACATGAATCAACTCGGTCGTGGCCTAGAGAGCTATAGTTGGATTAATTCAGCAGCCCGGGTCATTAGGTTCAACCTTAAAATGTACCTTACTTTCCAGCTATATGAATCAAGCAGAACGCTAATTCGCCGTAGAAACCACCTATATATCAAGCCTGACCCTACGGACCCCGCTGAATGGCGAGATTATAATCGCCAGGAGCATCCCGATGATCTACTGCCCAGTGAGGTGGCCAGGTTCAAAACCAAGATGAATCTCCTTAAGTTCGTATATTGGTCAGCAGTACAGCTTGAAAGGTTAGTCTAGAGCTATGGCACACCATAAATAGTAAACTAAACTATACCTAGTGATATCCTCGCAGAGTTACCGCTACCGATAAGTCATATAACAACCTGGGAAGACAGAGTTGCTTATCCGAAGGGCATTGATGGTAGTTTCCCAGATCTCAACGAAGCGCAAGATCAAGCAGTGTCTGGCGAAACGGGGCAAGTCAACGACCAGCGCGACATTATCATAGTGTTGTATTCAGCACAGATTCAGTTGCGTAAGATCCTCAATCAGGTCCCAATGCATCTTTCCACCTTGTGGAATCAGTCACCACACAACCTCCCAGCTGGCCTCTACGAACCTCCATTTAGTAGAGCGGCGTCAACAGGCATGCCTTCGTTTCTCAATTGGCTGTATAATTGGCGAAACGCGAGTAAAGCGATGGGCGTAGATTGGGATGATTATGACGATCCTCCCACAGATCTGAATATTGCCAGGCTACGAGGGAAATACTACGGCGCAGAAACAGTCATTACTCGACCATACCTACACTACGTATACCATTGCCCAGAAGCCGACCAAGACGTACTTAAACGAGCATGGACTTACATTAGATCCCGAAAAGAGAGCTTGACGGCTTCAAAGCTCCTTGAAGCAGAATGGGGGGGCTCACTGGAAGCTCTTCTTGATAGTGATCCAACTCATTCTCGGGAGGGTATCAGCACCAAAGCCATCAGGAGCATGCTGCTTGCTCACGCTTGCATGTGGTCCTCGATCCGGAGTACGAAAGCTTTCGACGGTATCCGAACACGTCTCAAGGTGACGAATATTTTTGGCACAATTCATGCGTGAGTATCTTTCATTATAATATAATATAAATAAATAGCTAACATGAGACGACAGTCAATTTGGAAATTGCTTGGTTCTTGCACAATGCTGCGAGCCTGTATGGTTTAAAGACCTCGAAGGGTTCACCCCAGTGCACGAAGTCCCCGAACTCCTTGAGAGGACGATGCAAAAATGCAAGACATACTCGAACCTTGCACCGGCTCTTAACAAAGATTATGGGATTCTTGGCCAAGCTTTAGATAGCATCAGAGGATCGCGAAGAGCATCCAGCACGTATCAGATGTACTCTCCAGGCGATCCGACGGGCAACCCACCTTCACGACGCGCGTCAGGAGTTCGATCTGTGCATTCCTCATTTGGCTAGGACGATGGCTATGATTCGGTCATACCTTGTCGACTTGTATCATTGTCATATTCGATTACTTTACTTCAGATCAGGCTTTGGTGGCAAGATTTCTCATTCTACAGAATTTCTTTATACCCCGGCATGAGGTGGCTGCAAGCATTTTAGTTGTTCATTGGGTGGATAGCGCTGCAATCTTTGAGTACTGATTTACCGCATTGCGTATTGCACGCCGGGCTTGGGAGGATTTGGCATATTGGGTGGTAGTTTGGCCTTTTATTCCCATCGTGTCATGGTAGCAACTACACCATTTCGGCATTGTACGACAGAGGTTCCTGGAGGAGGGGGACATATACACAGATATGAATGTATAAGAGAGACTGCTGTCACGCTTGGCAACTTGGCGATGTCCTCTACTCACGGCTCTCCATTACCGTCTATCATTTTCGGTCGTGCAGCCTAAACTCAACGACGAGCAAGGACGTACGACGACAAATCAGGGGTTGAGTAGGAAGAGGCGAACGGAATTCCCTTAACTCCGGATCGTTCGTAGTAAGCGTAGGACTTCCTTGACCAATACCTTACTGGACGAACCGTCAACGTTGTAGATCACTACACTACGGTGCTACTTGATTGGTGGTTGCGCTTTCGGTCTTTTGTGGCTGGATCCTACACGTCTCGGTCGCAGCTCCGAGCCATTCAGAAGCCAACCATGGCAGCCGCGAGCCGCACAATTACCCTAGACTCGGCACAGCTGAGTATCTAGACTCAAGCTCTCGGGCCTCGATCCACCATCCGGGTCCGATTGCTGATCCTCGGCTGCTCGTGGATAGTGGCTAATGTTGCATCAATTCATGTCTTCCAGGGCATCTTCCCTGTTTAGACCCACCACTTCGATACACATATCTGCTGAGACTCAGGCCCACATCAATCACTACTCATCGCTGTGCCACATAGACTTAGGACGGATTCTCTACGATGAGATTTGCGTATCTGCGGCGCATCAGGTCAATACAAACGCGAAGGTCTCCAGTACGCCTCCAATGACTAATTCGTCGGCGTCCACGTCTTGGTGCTCATTCCCTCTTGCATTGGTACGTCTACTTGAAACATTGTGACTATTGATCACGACGGCACTCTCTGACAATTGTTGCAGCCCAACAAAAGATGACGGCAACCGATCAATCGGCATGCGCCTCCTTGCTAGCTAGTCATCGAGGGTCAGCTTCCGCCGGTTATATGCTCCCGCAACGATATTCAATGGCAACAGGCCGTTCGTAGGTCCAGTGACCACAAGTCTATGCATTACATCCTGGTCTGCGTGCTTGCATCCCGAAGCTTTGCATTCAACTCTCAAATGACAACGCTTTCGACATCTTACGCGCGTCGCACGCGATTCACTATGCTAGAAACACACATGGGGCAAGGAGCAAGGAGTTCGTCCATATTGACGCCCTGCAAGATCCCTGATGTTCCCCTGCTGCACTAACTGGATCGCATTGCTACGCCGCACGATTCCACGAGGATCCCCAACGGGTGCTAACACGCTGAGTCAGGGATGTTGTCCCAAGAGACGACGTGCTCACTATCATACATAGGGCTGACAGCGTCGATCGCCCACGGTACCCCTGTCCGTGGGGTGACAAGATACATCACATCTATGCCGCATGGCAACAGGGGCATCCAATCGCACGAGGAGGGACAGATGTATCACGATCTCGGTTTCTCAAATCCCGCGAGTGACATGAGCGTCTTCAATGACGCCTGTCTACTTTGACAGATCATTCTTTACCCAAGCCCTGATAACTGCCCTCCCCCCAGAATGGTGTAATATACAGTGTAATAAATATCATCAGACGGCACAGGCCCTGGTTCTCTATCGCAGGGGATACTGATGACAGTAGTAGTGACTCAACACTAGACATCATGATGAACGAGATATTATCGCCCTTCCACTCGGGCGGAACCCATGACAAAACAATCTTACATCTTGGCACATTCTCAGAGCCGCCAACTAAATTGATTTGTTCGCCATTCCGGTTTTCATTACTTTCCCATTTCATTCCGCGAGACAGACCTTGGGTCTCATCTAGATACCTTTTCGTATTGATACAACAAGTCCTAGCCGACGTGGGGTGTGTCTACACACCCCACACGTTAGATAGATAGATGATCCTTGTCTTTGGTCTGATATCTTCTACTGGTTTCTATGATATCAATACGCTGATCTCTGGTTGACAGCTAGCTGCTCGGCTGTACGGCTGGCAAAGGAGATATCCGTTTGTTACGCCGCCCAGCCCCATTTCCCCAACCCAGCCAGTTTACCGTCGCTATCTTCTACTTACTTGGGCAGTCCCGACCTTTTTCGTAGGTCGTTCTGTTTCTGCTTCTGCTAGCTCGTCGCGTCAGTCGTCTCCCCTGCTTCCGATAAGGAGAGTCATCGCTGTATGAGTACCACTGCTACGTACCTGGTCTACTCGATCAGGTGCTTTGACCCGGCTTTAATTCCCCACAAATTCCCAGAGGGTGGTGCTAGGGGTAGACAAATAGTAAAGCTTCCATCAATTGAGTGAGCGCAGGGGGATTATATATCGTTCTAAAGAGCAGAAGACTACTAAGATTTGGCTGTGGCTTTGGCCTTATTTCGTGGCTGTTTCGCGTGTGTGTCTACAGCACGAGTTTCATGTTGTTCCAGAAAGTTTCTCTGAATAATACAGAATTCAGAATTCAGAATTCAGAATTCAGAATTCAGAATGTGCCATTTGTGTGTCTCCAGTGAGGACTGAGTTGGGATTTACGTTTCTTAGTCGCTCTCGAGCAAGGCATAGTAGCACATTATCATGAATGAGTGACTTCATCAATGAGGCACACTTTTACCATAGTATCTCCTAACGTTGTATCTTCTAGACAGAGGGAGGAGTCTGCTTGATGGCAGAGAGTCATCGGTATCTCCCAGTGCAGTGAACATACTCCTTAGATCAAACCTATGGTACAAAGTGTCAATTTATGCAGATAGGCGACTCCTAGTGGATTGTTCGTTGTGGCAAAGTGACACCCAAGACTTTGCCCGCTACATGAGATATCATATAAAAAGTTCTTAGATTGAACGTTCCAGACCTACTTTGGAGATCGACGGATTTTCTTCGTGGAGGAAGAGGAACTCCTAATACCCATCTATCTGCACGGCTATCTACGAATTCTATTGCGAAAAATAGCATGCCGTTTCTTATGTTGGGACATGGAAGAAATATTGTCTGCTGATAGCACGTAGGGCCAGAGTCGTTATTTAGAACATCACATTGCCCGGAGAAGGATATTATATATGAGCATCCCACATCGAAGAGCGGACCATTCATAGAGTCGCATAACGGCCAGACCAGTCTTTCATGGAATGTTAGATGTAAGTTATATCATACGTTTTGACTCACCATTAGTATATATTCTGTGTCATGCTTCTGAAGGGAACGAACTACAGTTTAACTCGCCCAAAATCACGAAAACATCATACTTGTAGCTCTTCGTCTCGCCATTCATGACTCTAGGATCCCTGAAACGATTACCTCGGGGAGTGACTCCACCATGACTTAAGTGTACTCTTTGTAACACCTCACTTCAAGGCTGATCGACAAGCACGTTATCGAGCACCACGCCACGGTGCACCCTCTCCAAACTTTCCTGGCAAAGCGAATGAGATCATTCGCGACACTTGTCCATAATGGACAGGATGATATCTTGGCCAAGCCATAGTCTCTGAGCCTAGCTAGTACAACTATACGATGCTGTTATGGTTACGCTCTTATCGACGCCTTCATAATACACGACCCACACAGTTGCGTGACATGATGTGGCAACAATACTGCTGCATAGTAATGACGCTGTCTACATGTCTTGGTCATTGCGCGAAGCAGAGACGTATGATTATGACATTGACGACGATGGCGTGCCGTTGGGCGCGACTCTTGATGGTTCGGAGAGAGGTGGTGTTTTCTGTATTACTAGTCGCGATGAATATATATCTGCCTAAGCTTTCAGTCCTTGTCTCTTCCCAGGCGTGTGCAAGCTCCTTTGACGTCGGCGAGGACTGGACCAGACGATCAGGTAGAATGAACGTGAAGCATCAGTATTCATGTGATTTCGGTCTACGCGAAAGATGCCTCCCGCTTAAACTGCAGATGTTACGATAACACTGTCCTTTGTGTATCATGTATGCAGTAGAAGCTACTGTGCATGAATAACTGGACATGCGGGCATCAGACGATTTCAGTTAGGCTCTATGGCGACGGATGCTGTAGTTGAAGTGTGTTTCGACAATGCATCCGGATGCTCTAATCATCCTTGCACCTTACCGTGCATCGCACTCGACATTGCATATGCTGGGTTACTCAACCTTACATATGCATGCACTGTCAATGCTTCCCTCTACCTTTGATGCGGGGTAGTCTGTTTTCTCCTCGTGTGACAAGTGATACTAGTGAAAGAGATCCACGCATTACAGTGAATTTAATACAATGATCAACGTACCAGAACAATGCTTGGTCACCCATGATCAGATCCCACACTATCGGAGTATCATACTAAAAGACACCAGATCTTGAAACTTCCCTTCTCCATAGCTTTCCTACAGAACGAGAAATTTGTACATCATTGTCAGTCACCCGAAAATGGCTGTCGAAGAGTTCTGGGTTGTCAGAGAAGAGCCCTACCAGAATGATATGAAGATTATCGACGCGCCGGACCAGCCCTCGATCAAATTCCCTCTCGTTATTGCACCCTCGAAGCAAGCCACTAAGGACGAAATTCTCAAAGAAATTGCACAGCTAGCTGCCCAGCCCAGCGATACTAGTGGCCACAGCAAGATTCGAGAACTACTGGACGCCAATGGCGGTGCAATCAACATCAAGGGTTTGCCATTGAAGGACCCTGAGGACTTTTCGGAGTTTCTGTCTGCCCTTGCAGGGAAGGGCGAAGGTGCATGGTATCCTCACGTGCATGTGGGAATGGAGGTTCTGAGAAGACCATTGGCGAAGAACGTCATGACCACGAATGAGTGAGTAGATCTTCCGTTTCGCCGGACCTCAAAGTTTGCCATTGAATCTTCCATCTCTCCGTAGTCGTTGTATAGGATTGATCGATCGTGTAAGCTGAATGCATTTCTCACTAGGGGACCCCCATCTCACTTTATCGGTTGGCATAATGAGTATGCCGTCTCTCCAGTGCACCCTGGATACTTGATCCTATTCTGCCAGATCCCGCCAGGTAGGGGTGGCGAGACCAACATTACCTCTTCAGTGGCACTTTATGACCGTCTCAAGAAGTCCGCTCCAGAATTCGTTGAGAAGTGCGGCACCAAAGGTCTCGTATATCATATCCCACACACAGCTTCACAGGTTGGGGGAATCGTGGGAGGCAATGGTCTATACAAGGCAAACGCGTTCGGGCCATCTAATGGAGAGGATGTCTCAACCTGGAGCGAGGAGCGGAAGAAAAAACACGTCGAGGAGCGCATTTTGGATCTGGCCAAGAGAGGAGGCTGGTCCGAAGAGGCGTCCAAGGATGTCAGTCTGCCAGAGTGGCAGAGGAGAGGGTTTGACTGGACATGGGAGGAGAATGGAGATTTGAATGTTGTGCATAGGGTCCCTGGTGAGTCTCGATGTAGTCTCACATGAAGAAGCTACTGACAGATGCTAGGAACGCGAATCCACCCGACCAGCAAGCTTCCGACTATCTTCAATGTACATTAGCCCTACTCTCTTGGGCTGACTCTTGTTTAACTTGTTGCGTTCTAGGCTATGTCCACCAGATACACCAACGCCAAGGTTAACAACACGTGGGAGCCACCTCACACGTACAAGACCAAAGACGGCGAAGAAGCCACAGCCATACCACCCTACGTAAGCAGTTTAAAAAACTCTGAGGCCGCTGGCTGATCCGAAGTTACAGTTTGCTGGAATCGAAAAGGACGAGCCTATCGCTGCTGAGTGGCTGGCTAAGATGGATGAATGGCAACATAAGCTAGGATCCGATATCAGTTGGCAAGCGGGTGATGTCTTGATCATCGACGTAAGACCGAGCCTGTCTTCAGTTCGTCCGAGAGGTATGCTGACCGTCTTGAATTTGCAGAACTTCGCTGTCCAGCACGCGCGTTGGGCTTGGGAAGGTGACCGTAAAGTCCATGCTAGCTTTTGGGACCAAGCTGGGTTTATTGGTCAGCAACTTCCAACATCGATAACCGTTTGATTATGCATATTGGCTGAGGAAGCCTTGGATGAGGCTTCCATCCAAGTGTGTGCAAGATCTGTGGCTGCAGCCAGCCGTCAGTTCTTGGTAGGAGATGGCCGATATTGCGGTTTACAAGACCAAGTGAATCAAGGCCTCTTGAGAGGGTAGCTCTGTAGACACACTAGTACAGTAATATCATCGCTGCCGAGGCTTTGAAGATGTACAATGAATTGCACGATTGGCCGACATGCAGGCAGAACTCGAAAAGAGTAGAACGGTGAGCGAATTGCCTTCATGTACTGTGCCAACAACCGATGCGTTCGTTGAGCTGGGCACTCCCACCTCTGAAGACTTGCCCTCATATCCAGCCGGTTTGTAAGTTTTATGATTCAGGCCAGTATCATTAAGTCACTATAACTCGCGACTTTAATGCCGGACCAACTTTCAAAGCTGGCATGGGAGGCGGACAATGGGTGACTAGGTGACTATGGGTCATTCAGAGTGCTCGAGACACCGTGGAGAGAGCGTCTTTGCACAGTCCGCCAGGTATAGCAAGCTGTCAAGATGGTAGAGACTGCATGATTGTTCGTTCCGATGGACCGCCCTCGATATCGAACTCTCAGTATGGGCGGATCCATTAGCCGACAAGCCTGTGAAGTACAGGCTCTAGAACAATGCTGTAGATGTGATTTCTAACGCAGAAGTCATTTCGCCGAGCACACTGATGCATTCACCGAATTGGGGGTTTATTGATGTCATCTAAGGAGGACGAGTTGAAGATGCCATAGGTTATGATGCCTTAGGCATCCATCTAAAAATTCAGCAATCGCTAATATATTCCGTCTTTTCATCCGACCATGCCATTACAACGCAACCTTCATTGCGTAGTCCTCTTGCTGCTTGTTGCTATCATCAACAAAGCGCGAGATGTACTCTGGTGTTTTGTCCGTCATATTCGTCGGCGCTGGCGTTGGTTGCCCATATCGTGTCCACATCGGAAGCACTCCTGCCCAAACTCTTTTGCGGAGCCCCTCGTCCTTCAAGTCGTTTCGATCTTCGCCCGTGGTTCCCGTTCGAATCTTCGCACTTCCAGTCTCGATTTCGACGCGTATTATGCCCGTCGCCTTCGCTTCGGCGTCTGTTGGCGGAATGCGTGTGTTTTCCCAACGCTCTGGCACAATACTGTTTGTTACATGCTTCATCGCCCACCACCGTTCTGCCTCATCCGTTACTAGATATGCGTGGCCAAACACCACAGCTGACCGGTAGTTTGCACTATGGTGGTTGGGCGTTAATGCAAGAACGATTCCATCCAGTATAGTGGCAGCAACCGTGATTTTCAGACCTGCATCCTCCCCTCTAGACGTTCGAAACATCCTGCTCGCTGCGTAACCATGGAGATAAAGCGAGCTGGTCCTGCCTACACTATTGGTGTCATCAGATGGAAAGAGACCCATACAACCAAACATTGGTAATATTGCTGGGAAGTCGTCGTCGAGTGGAGTGAAAGACACATGAAGAATCGGTGCTTCATCGATTATAGAATGAACCGTCTCAAAATCATATTTCCCTAGGGGGTAATCTGGGTAAGTGAAGCTTTCTGAAGGACCCTTGACAGCCTACCTCGTCCGCGATAGCGTACAACACCGTTCTTTGTGGTCTTCTCATATTGTGAATTCGACATCGTGTAATCTGCTCCTTGTCGATTTCTCTGCCGAACAAATGAGCTGTCGGTCAAAAAACTCCTCTCACCGTATTCTGACATAATCTTGCTCCCGTATCAATGCACTCTGTTTCTATTTACCACGACGTCGTTTCTTTCATGCAGGACTCCCATCCCGGTCTTGGGAATTACAACAGCTGTACAGTATGCACCATATCGGCACGTACGTCTGCATTGTCTTGCAGCGGAGAGATACCCCGCATCCCTTACTCTACTGTGCATCGCAGATGTAATGCAGCGTCATTTTAAGCCTAGCTTGCGATCAACAAGAGGAGAATCGGCGTTAGCGACAGCATGCCCCACGAGCATGTATTTTATTACAAATGCACGTTTTTAATAATTTCGCACAGTGGGTTGAGAAATCTCATCACAAGATCCCTTCTGAAGTCTTCAAGTCTATCCTGCCCTGAAAGGAGTTGTGCTGATCAGAAATTGATCGACATGAGCTCGAGTCTGGTCAACCGATTTCGGGACCTCGAGTCTGAGATCAAAGAGCTTTGTAAAATCTGCGGTACACCTGGAGTCTCTGTGGGGATAAGCCTACGTGGAGAAAATATCTATCTTTTCAATAGCGGCTTTCTCGATATTGAAAAGCAGTTACCCACCCACTCAGACGGTATCTATGCCCTGGGAACACTCGCCAAAACGTTCACTGCATCTGCCATCGGTCTACTGGTGGCTGAAGGCAAAGTGAAATGGGATTCGCACATCAAGGACGTCCTGCCTAACTTCCGAAGCAAAGACGCTATAGTTACCGAAAATGTGACAATCGAGGACCTGCTTTGTCACCGAAGTGGATTATCAAGATCAAACCTCTGGTGGTTGGGCTCAGATGGACAGTTGCTGTTGCCCAAAGATAAGTTACTAGATGCATACCGCAATCTAGAACTCACTGGTTCATTTCGCGGAAGCTGGGGCTACAGCAACTGGGGCTATGCGATTGTCGGAGAGGTCATTGAAAAGTTGACTGGAATGACTTATGGACAATTCATAACCACACGCATCATCGAGCCTTTGGGACTCCGCCATACGACGGCTCAGCCTGTCGATGTTGCAGGAGATAATTTAGCCAGACCATATGCCGCTCTCGACAATGCCGACCTTTATCCCCTTCCGCAAACACCCATCAGCGAAAGGACAATCATGGCGCCTGCAATGGGTCTTCACTCCAGCCCACACGATCTCCTGACCTATTCCATCGCCCTTCTCAGGTCCCTCAGATCTGAGCAGGGACAGGCAACTAATTCGTCCCCAAGCGTTCTCCGCGAAGTCACTGCGCAACTCTCTGGTCATGCCTTCGTCTCCAGATCCGTCAATGAAAAGTCCTACGCCTTCGGCTTCTACCGCACCGCTCTGCCTAGTACCATTGCCGGCATGGGCTGTAACGGTTTCCACGTTAAAACGCTGCCAAGAATCGTTCCCGGTGTTCAGTGCGGCCCCCTCATCGCCCATGCGGGCAGTGTACCCGGCTATAGCAATTCTCTCGCACTGCTACCCGAGTTGGACGCTAGCGTTGTCGTGTGTACCAATTCCATAGGGCTAGGCGATGCGTCGGGCTGGATTGCGATGGCACTGATCGAGGCACTGATTGAGTCGCCGGTGCCGACAGACTTTGTCGCTTATGCAAAGGAGGCTGCAAAGAACCATGCGGAGAGTATTCGCGTAGCGAGGAGTAAATTAGAGAAGGTAAGAGCGCCAGATACAAAGCCCAAGCCGCTGGAGGTATATGTCGGGTCATACCTCAATGAAGAGCACGATTGGGTCATTGTCGTTCGACAACGGCAAGCTGGGGGGTTGGAAGTATTGTTCCAAGGATTGGAGAGTCAGGCTTGGCTGTTAACACACTATGAGCATGATACATTCTTGTGGATGGCGGATCGAAATGAGCAAGCGAAGCGAGGGCGGGTCACTACCTATGTTCAGGCAGATAGCTTCAAGTTGATCTTTGGGGGTGCACACGGCAAGATTGATAGGCTGTATTGGCCCCAGGAGGCGGGACTAGCTTTGGACAAACAGTGCTTTCTAAGAATGTGATAGGAATCAGTAATACCCTGTACTGAACTTCTGGAAGACCTAAATCGACATTGGTTGCGCATCAACTTCTTAAAATGGCCGTGCATCCCAGCGTACTCTTCTGAGGTGGCGGTCTGGGTCCTTCACTTGATCTCGAGCGTGTAACCAACGCCTGTTGTCAATAAGTATGACAGATCCAGCAGGAAGGAGAACTGGTGTGAGTTGCAAGACGAGCGGCTTGACCGCCGCGCTCTGGAGAAGCTGACGCAGCTCTTCAAGTGCTAGAGCAGCGCCTTTTGTCAAAGGTCGAACGATATCATCTCGGTACCGGAGCTGAAACGCCGCCTCTCCGGACCCATTCCCTAAAAGACTTCCGGTAACCCTCGATTCGCCTCCTTTGCAAAATTCTTCTGGGACCGCTATCTCGAATTCAGGGCGCAGGAGTTGATCCTGCGTTTGCTTTGGAAGCAGCCGTACGGCTTGGTCTACGTCAAGCACAGAAAGATTCCCACCTCCACATCTGTCGGGCTGTAGTACGTGCAGAGCAAAGAAGCGTGGTGGACAAGCCTCGTAGCTGCAATCTGTGTGCCAGGGAAAGCTCTCCATGGTCTCGGAGCGGGCTTTCTGACTGTCAGCTTCCAGGGAAGCAGAGGTCGGTCGCACATCCCAGAACCAGCCCCGTGATGAGCTGTGTGTGATGGGTGGGCCATGTTGAAAATGTTTGTTGAGGTTCAGAATGAGGTGCTTGAGAAAGTCGCTCTCTGGATCCGCGTACGCGAGCGTGACCTTCGAGATACCGCACGACTCCAGAATTTGGTGGATCTCAGCGACATGCTTGGGTGCGATTGGCTTAACATTAGGATCCACTCGAAGATGTGGAATTGAATATGATGATTCTGATTGACATATCAGTAGTTAGGCTAAAGGTAGTGACGTGAGCATCTAATTTGACTGACGAGGTCTTGTTGAGGTCTTGTTCCCCCAAATACCAATCGGGCTGGAAGCATGCTTTGCTATCCTTCTTAAAGCTCTGAAACTTCGTACCAAGCGATCATATTGGGTCATTGTCAAGGGCTCTGGATACGAGTAGTTTCATGAACGAGACAGTTGGGGACCCTTGTGTGAGCAAAGTACAGACACGATCTGCCTATTCCTTGTTCGACAGAGCTTAGACATCATAATATGCATTGACGGAGACATGTCGCTAAGTTCGGAATTTCGTGTTAGGAACTGGTAATGCCATAAGTTACGGTTGCTCCTTGAGAATGGATGCTGATTTACACTAGTACCCGACAAGGAAGTCGTCTCGTCGAATCAGCCTGCACAGATGGATTCGGCGCCAATGCAGTGAAGCTGCAGGATGTCCGGGTGTTGACTTTACTTTTTAACGCCTTGGCATTCCTTTGTTCTCTGACATCTCACCGACTTTTACTTCCATAATGAAGGTGGTACACTGCAAGCCCATCTTGTGCCTCTACTGTCTGTAACCACTCATACGGAAGTATGGAGAGTACGTAAGTTTTTAATTTTGGTTTGGGAATTATTTTTTACTTCAGAGAGCATCAATACCATATTGCTGCGTCTGTTTTAGTGGCAATTGTACATGCTGAGCTGAGCCACCCGTAAGCACGACTCAACAATGAAGTCGGAGCTGTTGTTATACCTGCCACAGCCGGCAGCAAGGACAGCTACTACCCACCGAACTGCTTCAGTTGCCGCCCTTGTCTGTTCACTGCTCTTTGTCTTCTCGAGCTTACACTTCTGGGATGACCTCCCTTATTTCACTGCCCTGCACGGGCAGGGACATATATCGTACAGACAGCTTCAACAGATCCTCCAAGAAACCCCTAACGGCACAAAGGTCAGAGAGTGGACTAGCTACTATGGGAGCGGACTCCATTTAGCCGGGACAAACGAAAGTCAGGCTTTGTGGACCCGAGATAGGTGGAAAGAATTTGGGGTTCCAAAAGTCCAAGTTGTGCCCTACGATGTATATCTGAATTATCCAGTCCATCAGAGTCTCACTCTGTTGAAGCAGAACGGCTCAGACGTAAGCCGGCTCTACGAAGCGCGATTGCGAGAGGATCTCGGTGATAATGGCAATCTTGGTGCCCGGTTTCCATCCTTCCACGGTTATTCGGCTAGTGGAAACGTCAGCAGGCAGTATGTCTATGCGAATTTCGGCACTCGGGAGGACTACGATGAGCTCCTCAATCTAGATGTTGAACTAGAAGGAATGATTGCGATAGTTAAATACGGGATGGTCGGGCGCAGTGTCAAAGTCCAGGTCGCAGAGGAATTCGGCATTGCTGCTGTGATTATGTATACTGATCCTCAGCAAGATGGGGAAATCACAGAAGATAACGGCTTCGAGGCCTTTCCAAATGGACCTGCCCGTAACCCAACAACCATCGAGCGAGGCTCAGTTGTTCTACACTGTAAGATCTTTGCTGTTTATTATCTTGATATACGCTAATTGTAATCATCATAATCACAGTACCTCCGCTTGGTAATTTCACGCCTTCTGATTGTCCCTCAAGGGAAGAATATTTGAGGAGAAAACTCTCCTTGCCATCTATCCCCTCGATTCCGATCTCCTTTGCAGATGCGCTCCCCTTTCTTAAAGCTCTCAACGGCCATGGCCCTAAAGCAGACAACATTGGACAGGGTTGGCAAGGTGGTGGGCTTGGTTATAGGGGAGTGCAATATAACGTCGGCCCTTCCCCTAGCCACTTGATCGTCAATCTAGACAGCCTTCAAAACTTCACGATAACTCCTATCTGGAACGTTATTGGGTCAATCCCTGGACAGATCGAAGACGAAGTCATCATCATAGGCAACCACCGAGACTCATGGTCGCCTGGTGGTGGCGATCCGAACAGTGGCTCGGCTGCAATGAACGAAGTGATCCGCAGCCTCGGACTGGCACTTCGACGCGGCTGGAAGCCTCGACGAACAATCATGTTTGGGAGCTGGGACGGCCAAGAATATGCCCACCTAGGCTCTACAGAATGGACAGAGGCTAATCGTGCTTGGCTCTCAGGGCATACGGTCGCATACCTTAATGTCGTTGTTGCGACAAGCGGCAAGACCTTTAGAATACACTCTAGTCCTCTACTCCGCCCGGTCATTGAAGATGCGATGGGTAGTGTTCTGTCACCAAATCAATCCGTCAAAGGTCAGACGTTGCTTGAGGAGTGGGACGGTAAAGTCTCCCCCGGAAGCAGCAGCGATGGTGCCATATTCCTGGACTCCTTGGGGATAAGTAGCCTTGACATGGGTTACGCAGCTGGGTCCAAAGATCCCATCTACCCTTACCACTCTGCTTTCGATGGCCTCAATTGGATGGATAATTTTGGAGATCCCACTTGGGAGTACCATACCGCGGTCGCAAAAGTGTGGGCTTTGATGGTAGGTGCGCTGTCTGAAAGTCCTATACTTCCACTCAGTGTGAAGGAGTACGTTACCGAGCTCCAGGGCTTCGTGAGAATACTCAAGAGCAAGATAGTCCCCGAATCATCAGATGTATTCAGCTTCTTACCCCTCGAGGAAGCGTTGATGGTGCTCCGTGCTGCTGGAGAGGAGTTTGAAGCGCAAGCGGACGCCCTGCGGGCAAAGTCATTTGACACGAACCCGAGGAGTACAGAGGGGCTGGTACGGGAGATAAATCGCCGGTACAAAGGTTTCGAACGTCAATTTATCTACGAAGCTGGCTTAGATGATCGACCTTGGGCAAAACACGTTGTTTTCGGGCCTGCCGCCTATTATGCGAATGCAGATCCGTTCCCTGGACTCGCTTCGAGCCTTACTGCTGGCAATATGAGCAATGCAAAGGTATGTTGACACACAGGACTTAGGAAGTCAAGTGACCACGAGAGAGTGTACTGACTATGTCTCTCCTATAGAGATGGCAAGAGATAATCGTTACAAGAATACATGATGCCGCCACGTCACTGGACATTGACAAAAGTATGGACCTATATGGCGCAACTACCTACTGAAACTTGATATTCTGCGACTTCATCCAGCGCTTTACGCTCTCTATTCTTGCTTATAGGAGCGAGTATCAATACAATGATATTACAGCTAGCTAGGTTGAAGCAGAGTTAGTTGATATAAATTAAGACAGTAGAGCTATCATGTAGTATCACCAAATAATATGCTCATTCTGGAATATCCTTTGATATCGACCAAAGACCCAGAAAAAGTCTCCAGTGGATGCCTAACGTGTAGCTAACAGTATAAAGAGGAAAGGCCTTTGATCGGCCGGCTTGAGGACCGGACAGACTTAGCCTTCCTGCTTGCTGTCCCTTAGAACGTCTAGGCATGATAGAAAACCCATAGCTGATAATATCATAATGTTTACTTACCGTATAGTTCAACAGACGCTACACATTTGAGCAAGGTTCCGGCACAGACCACTACCGCAGCTGCAACTTTATAACCCACTGTGCTCGTGCTGCTGCAGGACTTCGATACCCATATCCGTCTGCTAGTCCAGAATGCTAATACGATTCCAGGTACTTAGAGGCCAAGAAAGAGGCCAAGAGCAGGAAAGCTTCCCTAGCCAGAAGCGTGAAAGACATGTAAGGGGAGTACAGTGTAGCTGTATAGAATATGTAGGTGAGAAGAGGGGTCAAAACTCAGGGCTTACTGAGCATACTCCCGCAAAACGCGGAAGCGCTTGTTGAAGTGGTGTTTCTGTTATACGAGGTTAGTAGAGTTTCAGACCCTGTTAGAATTTATTCTGTGAAATATAGGGAGTCGTTTAGCTCTGGCTTAATGAGAAGTAACGGCAAGATAATTTCACAGGAGTATAGCAGTAAAGGTGAGGACCATGTAGGCCAGTTGCAGTAGAATTGAACTAGGATGCCTGCTATCGAAGGACTTTAGTAACATCCTTGATGACTACGTGATCTACTTAAAGCTCAAAGATGAGAATCAGGTATTAACCGGCGCTTACGGACGATGTGATTATGCCCAAGGTCTGGGCATTGTATCCGGGTCAGTATTGCGAGCAATGGTTGACAAGCCAACCATCAATGCTGCAGACTAAGACGCCGCCTGTGGTGCTCGCTTAAGACAAAGCAGAGGAACTACATCGAGGGAGGCATACAAGCAACAGTCTCTAGATTGTAGGCATGAATGATATAAGTACTCACGACTGGGATAGAGGGGCAAGGGCAGTTCCTACGATGATGGTCACGAGAGAGATGATGTGAAGGCCCTTTCTAGACCTGAATTTGTCTGCCATGTACTTTACTAAAATGCTAAATAATATGGATCTGGTGCTATCAAATGTTAAGCGCGCTGACAGGCATTATTGCGTGTCGTCTGGCTGTATTTGTAAAGTCTTTGCTCTACGAGCGAACTGATGATTGGAATCATAAAACAATGAAGGTATGTCTCATGGGTAAAGTATTAGTATATTCTGGCATACTTAGTCGCAGTCATAACCACACACCGGTGAGAAACACCCGTGAAATTATGCTTTGAAAATTAGAGGGGCATATCGCCAGCTATAACTCCAATGACGCCTAGTTGCCTTGTCGAACCCGCGCCTATCAGACGTGAATTCGCTTATTGGAAGGCAGAGCTTATGAGCTCATAGTAGAGCTCTTGCTTCACAAGACTAACGGAAGCCAAAATGCTACTTCTAGTTAACGAATCTTTCTATGAAGTTTTCTGATGCAACCATGCTCAGTAGAATATTTAGTCATGCCGAAAAAGTTATAAGGGGATGGTGCTAAGCTCGGGCCGTATTTCCATTGATCTATTGCGAGATTGCCCCGAGTAAAGTGTATCCGGATAGTTCTAGCATGAAATGGAGACTCGCGTCGTCCTACCACCACCACCTCATTATAGACCTTAGCATGAACTCCGGGACTGCTACAACATGACCCTCAAAACAGTCGACTCGTGGTACTTCTTGACTCTATGAGTACACCAGCCTGGCTTTCGCTGACCCGTAAAGAATCAGATCGTGAGTACCCATTCCCTGAGGCACATCCCTCTATGAATGGACCATACCTAGGTAGATGGGGATCGCCCATGGATGTCCCGTGCGCTAATTCGCTCACATTTGTCAACAAAATCCCCACGTATACTCATCACTTGCTATGCCGTGGATCCCTCTCGGCCGTCTGCAGCTTTGGCTACATCTTCAGCCAGCCATGGCCGCACTTAGCGTAGTACGAAGAGTTGTCCGTGCACACTCGCGAGATCGGCCCTCAGACTCGACGCCGATAACTGCGCCGGCAACCCCTGCAGCTTCAGTTCGATTGGGCACACGTGACACAGTAGGCAGGGGAGTTTGAGATGTCGTTTTGCAAAGTCTCACGGCGTCTCTCTGGAGGCGAACATTGACGTCTTTCTTCTACGATGCAGCGTCATTCCGGCTCTATCACAGCTTCATCATGCTCGGTGAACACGTTCCACGGTTTGAGCCGTCCGAGCTTGAGCGAAAGAGGACGCGTAATAGGCTCGCGCAGCGTAACTACAGTATTACAGTGGCTTCCTTTCGTAGCTATACGTGATCTTGTACTGATATTCCCTTCATAGGGCAGAGCGTGCGAGAGCGCCGGAAGCACCCGAAACAGCAGGACCAGTCGCAAGGCATTACATCAAGCTCTACCCCCGACATGCTACCATTCAACAATCACCCTTCGTTGACTCAGTCTCAAAGTACCTCACCTACACTATTAGAGTGGGATGCGGCTCTGGAATTTGCTTTCGGTGATCCGACCTCCAACACTAATGTCCCATCGGCTGGAATGATAGAGAACCAAAATCAGCGTTTGACATCATACACGGTGGACAGTCATGAGTTGGCAGAGATTGAGGGTATCTGCGGTAGGTTGCCTTCGTTTGTTCAACTTTCACATGCGATCTGTGCTTCCTAGGGAAGTGTGTTTTCGATCACGGCCGTCGTCTAGTTCCGAACACCTTGCTGCACTCCACGTACCATGACTGATAGTGGCCCTGTCTATAGGACAGCCAGATCCACGATACCCAGCAGTGGGGAGAACAGCACTTCTTTCCGCGGCCGCCCTCGGCCATTCGAGGGTGGTAGATTTGCTCTTGCAAAGCGGTGCTAACCCGCTATCAGTCGATCTGCATGGGTGCACGATTCTACATCTGGCAGCAAAATATGGCCACGAAGCGGTGGTTAGATACGCATTGGAGCATAGCATACCGGTCGATGACGTTGACCAGGCAGGAAAAACAGCTTTGCATTATGCCGCCGAGGGAGGTTTTGTTCAGATCGTAGAGATACTCGTACGAGCGGGATCAGAAATAGATGCTGTGGTTATGGCGAAGAGCTAGGGTGAAATTCCATACGATGTCAGTGACAGCATTGTGGGAGTTGCAATTACTGAGGTATGAGAGAGTTGCCTCGGGGTAGTTGGAGGTTAAGCCACCTCTGTCTTGGTCGACAACTACCGGATTCGGTTGTAATAGTAAGACCTTTTCGTTTACGGTCAATGGCGACAAGATGATGCCCCTCGTCAGCGCCTCTTTAGCGTGTAGTCCCCTTCTCTTTCTCGACATCTGAAGAGTGTTGTTTGAGCTTTCCTTCGGTGTTGACGTAGAAACCTAGAACTGGTCTTAGGCCATGGCTTCAATCACTGGAGTTAAAGGACTGTCCGTTTATTCGGGTCCATATGAAGGTCGAAGTCCTGGTATGGTATTGCCATAACTAGGAATACTCGCTCCATCGGAAGCTTACTTTCTCTCATTATGGAGCTGCATGGATGTGATCACTGAATGGCACGACATTGCAGGAATGCTGACCTTGCATGACTACAAGCGCCGTCGTGGACGCCCCAGCCAATTACCAAGCGTGGAGCATAAATGAACCAGACTCCAGCATTGCCTCGTTTGCATGGCCATACAAACTTTCATTCATCATTCATTCAAGTCATTCAGGCACACCTGTTTAGAAACCAAAAATGGCTCGCGTAAGCCTACCACCCTTGGGAACTGCGATACCGGAAGCTCGACACGCCATTTCTGTCCAGATTCCGACATGGCGAGACATGTGTGGACTTGGTGGGGGGGATTTACGGGTGATGAAGGCACTGCGGAACGGCTATCCGCGGTCATTTCTCCACCAAGATATACGAAGACTCAATGAACACTGTCAGCGAGATTTAGACACCACCGATATGCTTCTGCTGTTCCCTAGTGAGTTGCATGCGTCTGCATGCAGGGAATATCTTGTGAAGCACAAGGGTGCCAAGAATGTCCGACTGGTAGCGCGCCAATTCGGGAATGAAGCCATGTCCGTTCACCTCTGGGCTACTGTGTTTCCCGCGGACCTCTCAGTGGCTGGAGCACTGTTCTGGCGCCTGACAGGTACGGGTATTTCATCCCGTTTAGCGGAGAAATGTCTCACGCTCAAGGATATGACTGACCACGTGGGCCAATCCTACGCGGCGATCCCTCTCGGCCCCCTGACGCCAGCGGGAGCGGGAGTGAGAGCGGGAGCGGATTTAGCCCCGCTAGTTTCTCCATACCAGGTCATCCAAGGTCGCATCGCTGGGTTCCTTCGCATCTCAGACCCTAGCGATGTATTCTTGTATCCTTCCGGAATGTCAGCAATTTATCACCTACACCACCTCCTCCTACAATGGCGCGGACTAGCCAGCGCCATCATTGGCTTTCCCTACGAACTGACAATCAAAATGCTCCAGACATACGGTCCAGGGCTGCATTTCTATAGCATGGGAACAGATGCCGAGATTGACCGATTCGAGACCGACCTGGCTCAAGGCATCAAAGTGCAGGCAGTATGGTGCGAATGTCCGTCCAATCCACTGTTGTGGACAGTTGACCTAAGCCGAGTTCGTCGACTTGCAGACCGGTTCGACTTCCTTGTAATCGTGGATGACACCATTGGTACATTTGCCAATGTCAATGTCATGCCAGTCGCCGATGTTGTTGTAACTTCTCTTTCGAAGTCATTCAATGGATTTGCCGACCTTCTAGCCGGTAGCCTGACCCTCAACGCAGCCTCTCCGCATCACGAAACCTTGAAAAAGTCACTCGTATCGTCGTACACAAACAATGTGTACATTGACGATGCAATACAACTCGAGCATAACAGCCGGAACTTCTTGCGCAGGCAGTCTATCCTCAATACTAACGCAGCGTATCTAGCTGACTATGCGTATCCTTTGACTAAGGACCCTTGCAGCGTGGTAAAGGCAGTGTACTACCCGAAAGTCAGTCCATCGGCACGTTACTACGAGGAGCGCATGTGGGAACAGGTGGATGACTTCACACCAGGATATGGCTGCCTACTTACCATAGACTTCAAGACAGTCGCCGCTGCCGTAGCGTTTTTCGATAACCTGCACGTCCTGAAAGGGCCATCGCTTGGGCTGCACCACACTCTAGCTCAACCATACGTGCAGATGGTTCTTCAGAACGAGAAGCAATGGGCAGCAAGCCACGGTATTATGGAGACGATCGTTCGGATCTCTGCAGGTCTAGAGGACAAGGAGACTTTGTTAGGTCTTCTACAAGTAGCATTGAAAGCTGCTCAAAGGACTTCTATAGATTATTTGCAGGAGCCCAGGAGCTTGCTGTAATGACTGCGATGCTCCGGAATTTTTAGTAAGACAATGTCGATAAGACGGGTCTCAGAGTATAGTTGCTGTCCTAAACGCATATTAAGGCCCCAAAGCCTTTTATGTGACACGTAGAGAAAAGTAACTTCATGTAATCACGTGAAGCCACTGTGCGTATGATAAAAGAAGACTCATCTCCCGCTCGACGCTCTCTTTCGTAAAATATGTTTTCGCGTAACAAGGGACTCAAAGAACTGTGGACTTCATATAAACCATGGAAATTGCTTACCCCTACCCGTTTCGAAATATACCTAAGGGTCAATTAGGTAGACCAACCGCAAACTTTGTCACAAAGCAATTCAAGTTTTCAAGCTAACATGTTGGAGTAGAGACCTTGGAGAACTTACTTGAAGCATTCCGAGCGGACAGGCATCCTCTGAAGACAAATCTCATGGTTGGGGCTTTTAGAACGAGTGACGGGCTGCCATACGTTTTGCCAGCTGTGAAAGAGGTGTGCTCGCCTACCCGATCGTTTTCTAGGTCAAAGTAATGAACACATTCGACAGGCGAAACGTCGAATGTTCAGTGATCTCGAGTGGAACCACGAGTATCGCCAATCGCACCTGGGTACACGAAGCTTTCGTGATGTTAGCCAGAGACTTTTCTTTGGCACGGATAGTCTCCTTGTGAAAAACAACAGGTATTCTCCTTATGGCGAGCAAACCATGGGAACAATGTTGATGCAGTCAACAGGATTGTATCAATGCAAGCTCTGGGTGGAAGTGGAGCCTGTCACATGGGTGCTGTCTTGCTCAGAAACCACTACGAGCCGTGGAAGACGACCCAGAGACCTAAAGTCTTCATACCGACCGAGTCGTGGGGTGAGAGAACCGACTTTCAGAGATGATTTTGCGATTCGCTAACACACCTCACAGCAAATCATAGCAATGTCTTCACCAGCCAAGGTATCGAAGCACATTACGTGCCGTACTTCAACTCAGTCACACAGGCTTTCGATTTCGATTCTTTTCGGGCGACATTGAGTGGCCTACCATCCCAATCTGTAGTCGTACTACAAACCGGAGCCCATAACCCAACAGGATGTGACCCTTCACTCGAGCAATGGAAGTCGTTAGCGACGGTGTTCGAGCAGCATGGTCACTTCGCCTTTTGGGATGCAGCATATCCTGGGCTAGCTAGTGGTTGTATTGACGAAGACCTCGCAGGCTTTCGTCATTTCGCAGAGCGTGGTATTCCATTACTGCTCGCTGCAACGTACGGCAAGTGCTTTGGACTGTATTGCGAAAGAGTTGGCGTCTTGTCCTTCGTAGTGCCGGATGAAAGTGTGCGTGAACGCATGGAAGTACAAATGCGGTTGCAAGCGCGTGCTGAAACAGGTGCAATGCCCGACTTCGGCGCAACAATTGTAGAGACAATATTACTGGATCCAGAATTGGAGGATCAGTGGAGAAGACAAGTACGATCTATGGCTGTAGATCTGAGGCAGAGAAGACTGCAGCTTCGACAGGGTCTCGAGCGATTAGGAACCCCGGGTCACTGGAGCCACGTCACAGATCAAAAGGGAATGTTTTCGTACGTTCAGGAACCGGGAGAGATCTAATGATCATAATTTGGCTGACTTCAGTAGTTATATCGGACTTGCACCAGAGCAAATCATTATCCTTCGTGAACAGTACCACGTATATATTCAGGATTCTGGTCGGGTCTCTATAGCGTGAGTCAATACCCATATTACAAGAAGCGTACAGATCCTTACCTGCGCCGGTTATAGTGGGCTCAATGCACAAAATATGGATCATACAATCGCAAGTATAGATGCCACAGTCAAGGCGACGGTAGCACTTTGATATTTAGACGGACTTCTAATTACGACGGAATTGACCCTTCACTTGATCCTGTCTGGCATCTTGTTGGGAGTCTCCTCTTCAATCATGATGAAGTCATGTCGCGGTATTACCGCTTGAACCGCGTTAAAGCTTGTGACCCTCTCGAAGTAGCCCATGACTGAAGGATGTACCTCTCTCCATTTGCGGTCTAAAACCCATTCAAATAATCGAGATATGTATATAACAAGCATGATGTCAGCAATGGATATGTGCTCAGTAGCAATATATATTCGAGACGTGAGGTGCGTTTCAAGAAATTCCAGGATATCAAGTGTTGCGGCGCGACCTGCTGAGACAGCATCCTTGTTGTACGATGGAGGATCGGTGAACGATGGAATGAGAGGAAGAAACCTGCCATGTATGTAAGCTTCGACCAGTGTTGCTAGATCGAAAGGATGCACACCATTGAGCAGCAATCTGAAGAAATTCCTGGTTTGCCCAGTTTGCCCACGATAGGATTTCAGCTGTTTCTTGCGGGGAGCCGTCACCCATCAATCGTGAGCGATTATGCAATGTGGCAAGATACTAGAGGCATCAGTAACAGTAAAAGCCAGTGAGGGTGTTAGACCATACAACCGCAATAGCAATGGTTTCGGTCAATCGAGTATCGGCAGTTTCTAATGCAGGTATCTTACCACGACTGCGTGGAAAGCGCTCCATGTACTTGGCTTTATTTACACCTCGTCGAGGAACAACCTCAGACAGACTAAGTTCGATCCCTTCCGCTGCGGCCTACGTTCAATTTAGCTTTCCCACGAGTATATATTTGGGCAGATTACGAGCAGCTTACAATAATGCGGCACACACGGGTCCTAGGATTTCGCTCGTATCCGTACAGGATATACGCCATGCTTTAGTCTGAATGTTGACCGGGGACATGAGAGAAGCTTCATGGTAGATATATTCGAAGACAGTCAGTGGCACAATTAGTTGACTGAAGGAAATGCACCTGGGCACAATGTAACTTGAAGGCGGTCGGGACTCCGTTCAGTCACCAATTGGCTAAGTGGTGCATGTTAAATTACCGCTTATTCATCTGGCTTATTCATAAGACTATCCGTACTCAACGTCCTCACCTCACCATTGGTGACAAGTCCACTCTTCGTCACCACCTGTTTCAACTTCAAGGCTGCACCGCTGAACGTCTCCAAGCTCTGTATCCCCGACTGGAACAGGCCTGCCACATCACTGTGGATCACGAACGCTGTCCAGCCGAGTGCGATGCGTTTCCGCAACACCTCGGGAGATGTTCCAAATCCGAGAACTGGTAGTCCATGTCTCTTGGCGGCTCTCTGAATTTTCGACAGGCTCTGCACGAAGCACTCTTCATCTCCGTCTGGACTCCCAGCTTCCAATCCAAGTGAAAATCGAAGGTCGCTTGCGCCAACCATGAGCGCGTCCACTGATAACAGGATAAGTACGAATCTTACGGACATGGCTGTGCTTCCATTCAGAGAATATTCAAGGAATTGGCGCACTCACCTCCGGCTACTCCAGCGATCTCGTCTATATTCCTCACCCCCTCTACATCTTCTATCTGACAGATGACCGCGATATGCTCGTTCCAGACGTCGTAAACAGACTTACCAGGTGGCGCGCGCGCCTGATCCCCGACAAAGGCACCAGGTGGAAAGCTCCTTATACCGTGAGGCGGGAAACGCGCAAGTTTTGCAAACTCACGCGCTTCGGTGGCATTTTGAATATGTGGTTTTATAACTCCTCCTGCACCAGCATTAAGGGCGTATGTGATCAGATCAGGGCTGTTGGCTGGGACGCGGACAAGCGGAACCATAGACCCGCATGAAAAATATTGTATTGCTCGAATGAGACGAGCAAGCTCCGTAGGACCAATAGGAGTGTGTTCCTGTTCCGAATCGAATGCAGATATTAGAACCTGGCGCAATAGAGGATGTAGTTTGCATTGAAAGCTTACGCTGTCTATGAAGCAGAATTGGTGTGGGAGAGAGGCCAAAATGCGGGCAGACTCCTCGCTAGGGATTCGACAGGTGGTTCCCCAAAGCAACTCGCCACTCTTCATCATAGCATTGAAGTTGGTCGGTTGCGCCAGATCGAGGGCGTTGAATTCTTTGGTGTTGAGCATGCTCGCCGGATTTGCAAGAAATTGTGAGCACTCTTTCGTCGACCCACTGGATGATGAAATAGTAGTCGAGCAATTCTAAAACCAAAACGTCAATACTGACTTAGCTACATCACTGATTACTCGCTTCGAAATATAAAAACATTAAAAATACACGCAAGAAGGGAGGGGTCTTGCGGCTCGCATTGCTGACCGAGTACATCCATGTAACGGACTGTGCCGAATCAATGCGCGTTGCATTAGTCCCTTGCCAGACTATGCTGCAGCGTGCATCATGCACAGTATACTACTAGTATGTGGTGAGCCGTGGCATGTCTTCTGACCATAACTCTAGGAATCTGCAGTGTCGAATCGCAAGACATCCATCTGCAGATCGGCCGCCAGGAAAAGAGTAGGTCTGCAGCAACCCAGCCAAGAAGCAAGAAACCTGGCCGCACACTCTTATTTCGCAGTATGACTGATGTGTATCAAGACATCTCCGTTTAATACGCATCAGACTTAGTCATTCTGGCATTTAGGATCCCGGTAGTGTCGCCTGCGTTCTTTGCAGACGATGCTCTTCGATATCGACCACCAACCATCGAGATGAGCATTGCTTCCGATCTCCGTTTTGACAATAGCTATCACGAAGACTCACTGGACAGTAGAACAAACGAACGGACACCCTTAAGGCCTGTACCAAAGCTCACAGACCACCAGACGTTTGTCCTTCCCCGAAGGAGACTTCTTGCTATCTTTCCCGCCCTTGCTCTTGTACAGTTCATCTCATTTCTTGACCAGACTGCCATTGCAACCGCCTTGCCTTCGATAGCCTTGGGCCTTGGTATAGGACAGTCGATCTCATGGGTGGGCACGAGTTTCTTACTCACAAGTACAAGTACCCAATTAGTAAATGGACGCATCTCCGATATATTCGGCCGAAAAAATTGCCTAATAATCGCTCTGCTGGTTATGGGCTTTGGGAATCTCTTATCAGGTCTATCTCAGACGCCTATTCAACTGTACGCTGCTCGTGCCTTTACTGGACTAGGCGCAGGATCAATCAACGCCCTTGTTCAGATCACTATCTCGGACATCACAACCCTGAATCAGCGCGGTTATTATTTCGGAATTATAGGCATTTCTGTAGCCTTTGGTAATGGATTGGGACCCATAATCGGCGGCTGGCTCAGTGAAGTAACTTCATGGCGCTGGGCATTCTGGTTTATTTGCCCTCTAGTAGCGATTGCGGTTTCATACCTAGCACTGGTGTTGCCACAGTCCACATCCCCTGAGAATGTGTGGCAGAAGATCCGCATGGTCGATTACGCTGGCATACTTCTCACAGTGGGTGGCACTATACTATTCCTGGTAATATCTTTAGAGACTCACGGCTCGGGCCCTCGGCTGATAGCTTTGCAGGTCCCAATCTCTCAAGGTGGCTCAACTTGGGGTTGGGGCTCTCCAACTTTGATCATCTTGCTCACCCTGAGCGGTCTCTGCTTTGCGTTATTGGTATTTGTGGAACGTAACATGGCCAAAACTCCAGTCCTACCAAGTAAGTCATTGATTCGGTTTACCTAACTTAGATCATACTGAGTTTATATTAAGCTTATGATTGGTAGGACACGTTTTCTCCTGCGGGAGATCAACGAATACACTTCTTGCTGTCAATCTAATCATTGGCTGGTGCTTCTGGGGAAATCTTTTCTCACTTCCACTATACCTCCAAAATGTACGAGGCTGGAGCCCGGCTTTGGCTGGTTCGTATATCCTACCTCTGGTCATCGCACACGGCATCACGTCGGGACTAAGCGGAGTCATTATTACTCGCTGTGGACATTACATGCCCATGATTGTCATCGGGACTGGACTATGGGCCGTAGCGGCAATTGTAAAAGCTTTCACTTATAATCGAGAGACACCAATCTGGCTACTGTGCGTAATAGGTATCTTTGAGGGAATTGGGGTTGGTTCTTGCTTACAGCCTGGTGAGAATTATGATCTGCTGTAGAAAAGGGTTTGCTCACTTCTTTCCAGTATTAATAGGACTTCTTGCTGGCTCTCGAAATGAGGACCGGGCAGTCATTACAGTAATCCGCAACTTTCTCCGAGATATGGGCGGCTCCATCGGTATTACAGGTCAGTATGCTCCGACATATTAAATTACATCGATTGATGACAAATTCAGTGTCAGGAGCTATCCTAAACAGCGTTCTACTAAGTCAGCTCCATGGAAAATTCAGTGCTCAGCTGATCAAGCGGCTCATTTCTTCAGCATTTTCGCTAATAGACTTGAATACTTCACGCCAAGAGAATGATCAGATCTTGACGGCATATACCAGGGCAATACAGAGTATATTTGTTTCGTATGCTGTCCTGATATCGGCTCTCTTCCTCCTTTCCCTCACAATTGAAGACTACGGACTACACGGCAGGTTATGAATGGACCGCGGCTAAATATCACCAGAGACAGAAATACTAGCATGGTGCGGTTCCGGGCTGAAACAGCAGATGTCAGCTGTTGCGATCATTCTCGAATGGGTAACGGTACTAAGTACATCCCACTGATAACGCACTGACTAGGGAGGATAGAGACATAGAGCAGTAGAGGTCACCTATAAGAAGGAAGTCGACATTTACGTTTCTTATTTATCTGCCTAGTATGCCCCACGATAGATTAATAGCTGACTATATACAATATCATGCATTTATAGAGTTTAGTACTAGAGAAGATAGAGAACTTAGTTATGGTAGTATAGCAATACAAATACTACTACTCTTAGTTAAGCTGGGCTGTATTGTCTCAATTGAGTAGCTCTAGCTAAGCTAACTAGCTTTCCTAGAATAAGCCCCTATGATCATGTTAGACATAGATCTGCTCCTGTGATCATTGTTCTAGGCTTCTGTGGAGAGCCAGCTGCTGCCGTGATCATGCTAAGTAGGGTCTACGCGTGGGATGACCCTTGGGGACCGCAACTACTGACAGCGGCCACCCAGGGCCCGAGCCGTGCCGCGCGCAACGAATGAGACCCACCAATCTATACCTTAGCATTCACGGATTGGGCGAATTAATCGAAGGTACAGTCCAGTCCATACCTGCCTAATGAATCCACAATCCACCCAACCCCACTGGTCTACCGAATCCCTCACCAACCCTCCCTCCCATCCTCTGCGCAGTCAGTCCCACCCGCACTCTAATGTACAGTCACATAACGTGTCACCCGTTGCAGCTAATACATTAGCATGTCCTTCTGACCGCTATAGTAGATCCTATGCATCACATATAGCTGAATAGATACTGCGCGGACAATGTTGTCTGTCAACGAGCCTCTCGAATCTCCTCGAATCGGTCACCAGCGAGCATCGTCTCTACTAGTTGCCATGGACACCGTCTGGCTCAAGCGTCGCGACGGGCACACTATATGGCTCATATCCAGTATAATGGCTTTTAGCTCCATTGCCCGCGCTCTCCAGAATACCTCCAGGGTGTATCTTTACGAACAGTCGCGTTGTCGTATTCAATATCTCGATCATGACCCAGCACTCCTCTCGACGACCGGGTCCTTATCCGTTCCCGAAGCTCTATGCAAGACGGAAGAGATTCAATCCACAGTCGCATCTTTCGTTGGTGCTGACTTCTTCGTCTCGGCCCTCCCCGGTAATGACATCCCTAGCTTCTGAATATGTGTGAGCATCGGGAGCCCTCACTCATGCTAATCAACCAATAGGTATCTTCGTCCTAGCTGCCTATCAGAAGCTCCTCCCCGTTGTCGGTTTCAGACCACTCCTGTTTCTCAATGCTTTGGCTACTGCGATTTCACTATCGCTCTATACCATATCTTGTGAGTAGGTCTGGCGAGTAGCTAGCGCCGCTGGGCCCGGGTTAACACACGAAGTCTACTTTCAAAAACGCTGGGATGCCTACGGTGCTTTGGCAGCGACCTTCATCGACGGGATCGGAGGCGGTGATGCAGTTCTTTCGACTCTACTGTATTCCGTGATCGCCGAAACATGCGATGAGAGCAACTTGTGAGTCCGTCATCGTCTTTGTGACTGTGTCTAACGAACTTTACCAATAGGAGCATCTCCAATTACTATCAAACTGCAATTTGGAATGTTTCTAAGATGGCGGGAACTGTAATCGGGTCTGCTTTACTCCGCAGTCACGTTTGGGTCCTTAACTCTTGTTCTATCCTTGGATTCCTGATAACTGCAGCCCATTACTTTCTTCTAACATCCCAAATCGGGGTGGGAGAGGAGGATGGAACGTCTACGGAACCACTATTGCCCCGACCAAAGGCCTCTGCTGCGATGCAGCCAATCTCGGTACGTGGAACATGTTGACCTCCCTTTGGGGCCTGCTAACGTTGGCCGATAGGAGATTGCCTTTATGATCATACGTTCCTCGGTCCGGGAGACTTTCACAGTACTTTTCTCGCTTTTCCGAATGACACACATTCCAAAAATGTGTCTGATATTCTTCATTTTGCACGCCAATGCGTGGAAGATTCGAGAACTTTTCCCCCAGTTCACCTCTACGACGCTTTCCTGGGACCTTTCTACGACCAATCAATGGCTGGCCCTATTAGACTTGATCGGCTGGGTCGTGCTCATGTGTCTACCACCACTTCGAAGGTATGTGTTGTCGCACTTCTATTCGCACACCGCGCAAGACATACTCATAATCCGGGCATGCGTCTTGGACGAACTTCTCGCCTGCTTTGCCATGGGGTTCTCCATAGCTCCCGTCTACTTGATTGGAATGTGCAGCTTTGCGATGGCGCATGGGAGCATGGACTCTTTGAGGTCATTTGGCGCACAGCATCTGGGCATCGGTGAGACCGTGCCTCAATTTTACACTAGGGTCGCGTTCATTCTGTCGCTTGCCCGGCTCATCGGACCAGCGGCATGGTCCTTTGCATATAGCCTGATCCTGAAATCCAGCTTTTTACCCCCTGGGGCTATCTTCTGGGGCGCTGCAGGGTTGTGGACGTTCATTGCAGTGATTACTATGACTCTCAAAGCCAAATCATAGAGGTAAGTGGTTTAGTCAGTTAAGCTGTATGCATGCGGAAGCTAACGAAGTCAGTCAGTGACCATTGCTTTTAGCGAGGCTCGACTACTCTGTGGCTCAATTATACTGAGCTGGCATCAGATAGGCATCAGATAGATAACAACAAGCGACATGACATGTCGGTTAGATTATCAAAGGGTTTGACATTGAGGATCTGAGCATGGTTATTGAGGCTAGAACCTAAGCGGCAAAGCTGATTTATCCGGGCTTGGAGGTACAATTGTCATAATCTTAAGGAAAGCATCCAAAGCAGGTATGACTATACAAGAAACAGTCGGGCTTATGGTGTGAAGCTTGGGAGTCCTCGGTCGATAACTCTGGCCGTACGTTACGAAGCGTTGCTGAGCCCTCGCTGCGGGTCGCACTGTTAGCCAGAAGGTCAGAAGTACTAGTTGACAACTGGAAACGCAACCCCTTCACTCCTTGATACATTGCTATCAACAGATCCGGTTGGAACCGTGTTCTGCCATACAACAAGAGAGAGCTTGTCTTCCACTGGGCATTTCCCACGCCTGATTTTATGCAGCTCTTATATGACCTAGCTCTTTGACAGATTTCGTATGCTCTCTAGCAGCAGATTATACTCTTGTCAGTCTTAGAGACAGAAGTAGTAGAATTCTAGGTACATGATGAGTATAGGGATGTGTCGATAAGCGGGGATGGGTCGCAAGAGTGTCCCTAGGGGACGTCGGGTTTCGATGCAGAGGTGGTGGTGGGAATCTTGAGAGGAGATTAAGTACGTCCTCTTCTGCTAGAAAAAAAGCAATTATGCCGAAGACAGTGTAGTCCACCAGGCAGACCCGAGGAGTCCGGCAAAAGTGAAGGAGCATAGGTAAAGAAAAATGAAAAGAAGAAAACAAAGGAGGTAGAGGGCGCTGTGTTTGTGCTTTGTTGTGCTGTGCTGTGGCAGACCCGTGCGTCTGTGATAGATCCGAGCTCTGATCGGATCTAACCGAGCAGGGGACGTCTATGCTTTGCGGCTGGCACTGCGGAGAAAGGAACAAATGAGCTGACCCGATCGATGGCAACACAAACCCAATCCAAAATGAGGAACATAATCTGCAGTCATGGTTTTCGAGCTGTTCTTGCATCATCGATTGTTCCGCCCGCTGAGGACGCTGCTCTCTTCTTCTCTCTTCACATTCATTCCTTTTTGTCCCCATCACCATCCATCCCGCCGGCTCACCACTTCTTCTCTCAACCATGGCCCAAGCCAAGGCCGATGAACACACATGTCTTCTACGGTCGGAACATTCCAGGGGCGCAGGACAGCCAAAGGAGTTTCCTTTGTCTCGACAGATTATCATTGTTACTGCGGTCTCTCTCGTTCAGCTTGTCTTTTCTCTCGATCAGACTGCCATCACTTCCATTCTCCCAGCCGTTGCGAAGGACCTTCATGTCGGTTCATCGTTCTCATGGATTGGGGCCAGCTTCTTCGTCACAAGCACGAGCGTCCAGCTCGTGACTGGGAGACTTTCTCAGATTTTTGGTCTTAAAAGCCTCATGCTAACTTCTTTATCCGTCATGGCCATCGGTAACATCCTCTCTGGCCTGGCCTCACAGCCTTGGCAACTATTTGCTACTCGAGCCGTGACTGGATTTGGCTCCGGGTCAATCAACGCCTTGATCCAAGTCGTAATCACTGACACCGTCCCGCTCAAGGAGCGTGGTTATTTCGATAGCATCCTTGCTGTATTAGGGAATACCGGTAGTGTCATTGGACCTCTTGCCGGTGGGTTTCTTGCCGACCGCGCGTCGTGGAGACTCGCATTCCATCTCCTTAGTGTCATGATTGGGCTTGCACTCGTCCTGCTTGTTATCACGCTGCCGGAGTCAAAGGCCAGTGGTAAGACCTGGAACAAGTTCCGCGCCCTTGATTGGTCAGGACTGGTCACAGTTATGGCTGCAATTATCTTGCTTCTGGTCAGTCACTTCCCATAGCTCCTGGTAGACTCTAAACTCTGATCGTATTCATTGGACAGGTACCCTTATCTCAAGGTGGCAACGCCATTCCGTGGAATTCCCCCATCTTGATTGCAATGCTTGTGACTGGGTTCCTTCTCATGCTCCTTTTCGTCAGACTAGAGCTACGGGCTTTCGATCCGATTGTGCCTGGTATGTTCGCACTCGTGATAACATTTCCTGCTTGTTCGTGGACAATATTCTGACACTATGATAGTGCATCTTTTCACAAAAAGTCTTCCTGTCAATTTACTCCTCGGACATTACTTCATCTTCGGTTGGATCTTCTGGGTGAACCTCTACTATATTCCACTCTATTTTCAAAATGCTCTGCATATGGATGCCTCGAAAGCTGGATTCTTCATTATGCCGCGTCTCATGTCTCAACTTGTATTCTCCCTTCTCAGTGGGATATACATCTCAAAGACCGATGGATACTACTCGACACTCGTAGTAGGGGCGCTCGTGTGGGTGATTGCATCGCTATGGAAAGCACTGTTCACCTTAGAAACCCCGGCTTGGGAGTTCATAGCTCAGGGTGTGCTAGAGGGGTTTTCTCAGGGCTGTAGCTCTCTGCCAGCTCTGATCGCGCTGTTAGCACTCTGCGAGAAAGAAGACAGGTCCATTATTCCGGGCTTACGTAGTTTCTTCCGTACGCTTGGGGGAGCTATAGGGACGATAGGTACGCACTTCTCAACCGGGTTTTTAGAATCCATGCCACATACGTCCTTGCGATGATGCTTACGGCTACAGTTTGCGGGGCACTCTTGAACACTTTTATTGCTGGAGCACAGCATACCCCCAGCACTAACGCCATGACGATGGCTATGGATATCCAAGAATATGAAACTTCGAATCCTCAAGCATATATGCGCGGCCTCCAGTTCGTGTTTGGGTCGAACGTCCCACTAACCCTGATTTATATCGTCACCATGCTCTTAGTCGAGAATCGCCCGTTGACAGTGGCTGACGAGGCTGGACGGACATCAAAGGGGATGCATCACGATTCGGATCCGGAGGAGGAAGTCTCTACCTCGCGTAATGACGCATGAGTGATTAACTTGATTATGTATAAGTATGTCTGGGGTGCCTATTCAACTCTGTTCACTATCTTCATGGGAGCTCGAGTCTTAGCAAACACTGTTAGGTCAACATGTAGTCTAAATGTTTCTCACAATGAAAAACCGTTTCGCGCGCGAACAAGGCTCATTCGGGCTACTTCACTCGGAGACGGTAGCACAATGGAAGAAACCTCCGATGCTGTTCATATTGCCATCCCAGGTTACCATGCCGTCCGCCCGTCACTCCCCTCAATCGTCACCTGTTTGCCATCCCGTACCAGTACCTTCAGAGGACTCTGCGGACTCGGCATATACAATGACGGCCCCTATTACGACCCTACCTGTACTCAAGATATCAGTTACCCGCCTCCAAATATGGTATTTGCTTGCAATTTCTTTGCTTCCTTGGTCGGGATCGAAATTCAAAAGTTTGTATCACTAGGGTGACTCTTGGCGTAGGTGTGCATCGCACTCCGATCGTTCACGTCAATTATTTATAACTCGTACCTATGAGGTAGGCGTGGCCAAGCGTTTTGAGGCTCTCATTGAAGATACGTTCCTGGAGGTTTCGCCGTAAGATATCCCACCCGGACTGGACGTTGCTCCATGAGAGTTAGACGACTAGCAGACAACGTCTAAACGCTTATGGGCAGGGCGGACAAACGATGGCCATTGGAGCCGATGTGTAGTAGAGGCTTGACCTAGAGGCTTCGTGGCACAAATCAAGCTCAGGGACATGCCGCATGCAACGTAAAGAGGCAATGCATGGTAGGTCTTGCGCATAAGTCTGCAGTGATTCTCGGCAAGGCTAAGAGTAAGAATTGACAGGTCGAAATTCGTGCAATTGGTTGTTACCTTACGGTCTTGCTTGATCGCATGCATCGTCCGGGTGTTGAACAATGCAAGTCCGCACCAATCAAACAGAGTCGTGATTGCAGTAGATTAGTGGACTCCTAGGATCGGGGTGGATCAAAGACATTGCATCAGTACTAATCCATAATCGACAACAGTGCATGAAGATCCTCCCGCCCACTATAGCTAAATCCCATTCAAACGACAAAGACTAAGACCCCAGCTGGTGAACTTACCAATTAGGTAAAATGTCGCTCCTAGTCATTCATTTCGTTCTTACGCTCCCTCTTAAATCGACTTGAGAGTAAACATAACAGCCTTCAGTCCATACCGTACGTCTGCCCGAGATCATCGATAGAAGGACTCACGTACTATGGCCCTACGACCCGATACATTTCCAAGCAGTAAGGATCTATCGTCCAATACCGCTGAGTCGCTCGGTGTCATTTCGAATGCTGATCACCAGCACTTGCGACGTTTCAATGCGAATGAAGTCACATCGGTCGATGTCTGTCTGCACGACATTATTCGTGAACGCTGTCTCGAAAGAGCTGATGCTCCAGCCGTGTTCTCATCGACTGGTCAATTTAGCTATCGAGAACTCGACACTCTTTCTACACACTTGGCGTTACGTCTCATTTCGTATGATGTGGGACCCGAATCCTTTGTACCATTGCTGTTCGAAAAATCACGTTGGACATCTATAGCAATGCTTGGGGTACTCAAGGCCGGCGGTGCATTCATTCTTATGGACCCCTCGCATCCCAGGCGCCGCTTGCAAGAAATATGTGACACGAGTAGAGCAAAACTCGTCGTATGTTCTTCACAGCAGCAGCCATTGGCCAGCCAGCTTATGGCAAATGTCGTGATCGTAGACTGCACCGACGATACGAACAATAAAGAACCCGATACCGAGATCCATGCATTGAGCAAGGCAACCCCCGAGAATGCCGTATATTGTGTTTTCACTTCAGGCAGCACCGGGAAGCCTAAAGGAGTCGTAATAGAGCATCGCAATTATTGCACAGCTCTTGTGACTCAGAAAGAGGCATTTGGCCTTGATGAGCAGACAAGATATCTTCAATTCGCATCATACGCCTTTGATACGAGCATATCAGACCACTTTATGACTTGGCTCGCCGGAGGCTGTGTCTGTGTTCTCTCGGACTCAGAGAGAAGAGACAGTTTCTCCGAGGTTGCAGTTAGATTGAAGGCCAATGTACTAGACCTTACACCATCTCTTGCCAGGCTCATCAGACCAGATAGTATCCCATGTGCAAAGGCCCTTGTCCTTGGAGGCGAAGCAATGAAGCCCCACGATGTTGACATATGGGCAGACAAAGTCAGGCTGATCAACGGATATGGTCCCTCGGAGTGTTCAGTGACAGCAACACTTACGACCTCGGTAAAACCGGGTGCGGATCCTACAAACATTGGCTATCCTGTAGGATGTATTGCCTGGATTGTTGATCCGGACAACCACAACACCCTCCTAGGTCCAGGCGCTGTGGGCGAGTTGGTTCTTGAAGGGCCGATTGTAGGTCGTGGCTATCTCCATGAGCCCGAGAAGACAGCTGCAGTATTTGTGTCCAACCCAAGTTGGGTATCAAGCTTTCGAGGCTCATCGTATGAAGGACGCTTTTACAAGACAGGCGATCTTGCTAGGCTTTCTGAACGAGATGGGTCCATCTTTTTCTGCGGACGGAAAGACAATCAGATCAAGATTCGTGGACAACGACTGGAAGCTGGCGAGGTAGAGAATGTTATCGCACAGTGTTTGCCCATGGCTAGTTCCGTTCTTGTGACCACAATCTCCAGTAGAACAAGCAGTCTGAATCACATCCTTGCGGCTTTTATCGAGATGCCATCTCTGGTGGCAGAGAACGATGAGGATGCGAGACTCGTCTCGACTACCCCGATCTTCACAAGACCAACCCAGATCACTCGTAAGAAACTAACAGATACTGACCAGACATTAGCAGCCAAACTCCCCTCATATATGCGCCCAACAAAGTATTTTACGCTCTACAAGTTTCCTGTCTCGATCAACGGGAAGACCGACGTAAAGCTGCTACAGTCCAAAGCAGACTCTCTCTCAGCTGCGGACCTTGACAAGTACACTGGGTTCCATCAAACGAGGAGAGTGCCTTATAACGAAGCCGAAAAGGTGCTCCAAATGGCTTTTGCCGAATTGTTCAACCGGGAGCCCGAGAGTGTTGGCCTAGACGACTCTTTCTTCGACCTAGGAGGAGACTCACTTCTCGCAATTAGTCTCGTCAACCGTCTTCGTAAGTTCAGCGTGCAAATCCAAGTTTCGGAAATTCTCCGTCATCCCAAGATATCCGACCTGGCCGCATCAGTCTGCCACTTTGACAAAATCAAAGGAATGCGTATCGATACAAGGGGGTTGATTAGCGCAGAGTTTGGGTTCACAGGAGAGGACGATTTGTTTGCTGCAGCATCGACGAAGGAGCTGCCTTCCACAGACATACAAAAGGTACTCCCTCTCACAGAGGCCCAGCAAGTTCGACTTCGTGAATCTCTTCAGTATTTCATCTTCGATTTTGCTGAACGTATCGACGATGCCAAATTGCTTTCAGCTTGTCGGCTGCTAGCCGAGCGGCACGAGATCTTGCGTGTGGTGTTCCGAATGATAAATGGTCAGATAGGCCAAGTGATTCCTTTCCAGCCCCCCGAGGGGCTTGTTCAGTCACGGATGGAATCCGGAAACCTAGACGATCAAGTTTCGAAGTTATGCTCCCAGGACGACCTCACATTACCCCCCCTCGATAGACCAATCACAAGATTCACACACATCTCAACACCTTCCAGCCGCAGCGTCCTCGTTATCCGCCTTTCCCACGCCCAGTTTGATGGATATGCCCTCGAAGTCCTTTTCTCGGACCTGCAGGCTCTTTACGAAGACCAGGCTCTCGCTCCCGCCACCCAATACTCAGCCCACATTGAAGAATTGTTGCGTCAGAAGTCCTCCTCGGAATCCATCGACTTCTGGCGATCCCGCCTCTCGGGCCACCTGATAACACATCTCCCTTCAGGCCCGTCTCCTATGTCGTCGCCCCAATGGTCCCTTCCCACGCTACATACCCCACCTATTCCGCCTGTCGAGGGCATCACCCTCGCAACTATCGTCAATGCCGCATGGTCTCTGATCCTCGTTCGCTTGACTCAGCACCGGCCCAGCACACTAAGCGCACTGGCCACTTCCCCAAACCTCAGTCCAGTTCCCGTTGTGTTTGGTATGATGACCAATGGGCGTAACAGTGGACGTGTATCCGACACCACGACCTGTGTCGGCCTATGTACGAACACAATCCTCCTGCGTGTCGCTGCATCAGCAGACCTGACGGTGCACCAACTGCTTATCGATCTGCAAAACCAGTATATCGATGCTATGGCCCATGAACTCGTGGAGCTGCCCACTATACTCGGGGTGACGGCGGGTCGGACGTTTACGGAAACAAATACTATGGTGCCTGGAGACGGCGATTTCGGATCTGTGGTCAATTTCCGTGGTGCAGAGGTCGAGGGCAAGGGACCACTAAAGCTAAGTGGCGTGCCAGGAACGAGACTGGAAAGGGGTGTACCGCCGCGGAGGAGACAGGTCATTTTAATTGCGGTGCAGCAGAGAGACCAGATATGGTTGAAGATAGCCGTGCCAGATTATCTACTTAACGAGGATCAAGCAAGGGAGGTATTGGTATTAATGTCAGAGTTAGTTATCGTACTAGCGAAGAATATTAAGAGTACATTAAAAGAAATTCAATGGGCTTAAAGTATATATATAAAATAAGCCATAAGAATTAATATACTCTATTTATTATTTACTTAAATTTATTTCTCTTAGTACTTATATATATATATAAGTTAATATATCTACTAATAAGCTAATCTACTAATAAATCATATAATTTAAGTATATATCTATATATCTTCTTAATCTTTAATCTTAAGATACTTAATAACTATATCTTATCTATCTTCTTATAATACTATATTTAGAAGATAATCTCTTAATAGCTATTTACTATTAGTATTTCTATTAGAAATTAGCTAAAGACTATACTAGATTTATATATATCTTAATTAATCTATATATAGATAGATTTATAGTATTAAGAGATAATAAGATAATAAGATAATAATATAATTATAAGAAGATAGACTCTATATACTAACTAACTATACTAAAAGAATCGAATTATAAAGCTACTACTTTAAGAGTAGAGTATACTACTTATATATAACTACTATCTAATATATACCGGAGGAACCCCGGGAGAACCTTAAATATTAGTTAAGGGTAGTTCTTAACTAATAATCTCCGTATCTATACGTACTATCTAAGGGTAAAATTATTAGAACTTAGTCTTAGATATAACCTAATCTATACGTGTTAGGACGGGAACCATAACGGATCTATATGGACCATTCTAATCCATATAGCCACGTAGTAGCTAGAGCTAGGTTAAGTTAGCTAAGTTAAGCGAGGTCACTATATAAGTAGACCGTATAAACCGATTTCTACTTATTAGGAATCAACCTCGTATAAGAGTAAGATAACTCTATAAATACATTCCTATATCTCTCTATAAACTATTAGACTACTATCCTACGTCTTTACTCTTTATATTTTAATTTCTCTCTATATAGTATGACGGTAGCTTATAGAGATAGCTCCTACTACGCGCTATAATACCCGTGGTACTACCTTATACGAGAGACTCTCTCTAAATCTAAATAAAGAGAATAGTCTCCCTACGACCACCTCTACCGATAAGTATACTCTATAGGCTATTATACTAATAACTAGTACGGTATTCCGTATAACCGTAGAAGATTATCTAGATAATAAGGAAGGAGTCTATTATACTCTATCGCGGTCTAGTTTATACTATACTAGACCTATCCTTACTATAAGACTAGACCCTATTAACGTTAACGAATTAATTTATTAGAACTAACTAACATTAACCACGCCTTATAATAATATATATACTAAGCTATACACGGAGAGATAGCGTTAGGCTTAGCTTAAGTAGTAACTTCGTGAACTTAATAAAGCGTAAGAATAAACCGCTAGACTCGAAGCCGTACTACGCGCTTTAGTGCTAGTAGTAACTAATCTATACTAATATAGACTAACTTAAGCCGAAATAGTCTAACTAAGTCTATTACTATCCTAGTTACCTTAGTCTAAGAAACTACCTTACTTTAACAGTAAAACTAGAAGGAGCTTTTATAAATAGGCTTACTAGTATAGCCGATTCTTCCATCTATTCACGAACGATAGTAATAAGATTAGGTTCGTATAGAACTATCTAGACCTAACGCTATCTAAACGTTAGATAGTATATTAAATTAAATACTCTAAGGATATATATAACTAGGATACGTTTACCAAATTCCTTCTTTAATACTTCGGCGATAGAGCCAAGCGACGCGAATAGACTTAGAGCCATATCTTTAAGACTTAATAGCGAGAGAGATAATCCCCGTTATAACTCCTTAAATACCTCCGACCTCTTTAGAGAGAAGCTAAGGAAGATTATATAGTTTAATAATACGACGACTTTAAAAGGTCCCTTAACCTAAGCGTAAAGGAACGCATTAACCTTATAATATCTATCTCTACTAACCTTTAGGTACTCGCGAATCTCGTAGAACAATATTAGCGTATAATAAATAACTAACGTTATATAGGCGTACGACTATCCCTATTAATCTAATCTAATATAAAATTATCTAAAGAGGACCGGTTTAGTAATAGATCGCGCGGAATATCTTATAGGCGCTACTACTCTATGAACTCGAGAAGACGAGGCCCGTACCGTGGATCTTTCTACTAGTTAATATATCGAGACGCGAGAAACGACTCGTATAAATAACCTAAAGTTACCTACTACACCTATAGTAGAATAGGCTATATAGCACCCGAGTACCGCTTAGGGAAACTACCGAATACTAATATAGATACTAAGTTAGTTATATACTATAAGTGCTAGTAGCTAGGATATATCGCGTCTAACTACCCGGTATATAATATAAAAAACTAACTATCTATAAGGAACCCTTACGACTTATAGACGTAACTAAAATAGAGAGATAACTAGCCAACTAGTATATCAAACTATAGGCTAGGCCTATCGAGGTCCCTTATAGATAATATTAGACTATAATACTTAATAGCGGTTTAGCTACTAATGTTATATCGACTTAACGAGTACGAGAACTTAATGTCGATATTTAAGTACTAATAGATACTACCTTCCATAGTATCGACGGTCCTATTAAATCATAGAGTATCTATACTATTAAATATAGTATCTAGGATAGTAGAGGGAAGTAGAAACCCTACTACTTAACCTTTATCATGGTAGACAGTCCCTTTAATATAATCCTCGGTATACTATAGCTCGAAAAATATAACCCGAAACTAGACTTTATCTAGAAAACAGCTGGCTAGCGTATATACCTACTATAATAGAACCTAGTATAGCTAGTCGATGACGAATAATTCTAGAAGGACTACGAAAAGGTAATCTCCGCTATCTACGTCCTCTTACTTACTTAAAATAGAGAGCTTAGTATTAAAGTAGACGAAAACCTACTATGGAAGGCCGCTCCTGCAGCCCTACATGTATGTGTCCCTGGCTCGATTACATGGCTTCATTGTATATTTAAGGAGGGCGTTTTCCTTGGTCATTCTGCTCGGCGCTCCCCCATTACTAATATTCGACTATTCGACCTTTCCTTACGTTCATGGGCCTCTATGGGTATTGATTATTAGGCTTAGCTATTAAAGAATTAATTAAGAGTATTATATAGACCCGTCCTATCGTAAAAGAGAACTAATAAGAAGTCATGCGTTCAAAGAGAACTTATAATACCTAGGAGAGATACTTATGAGTTCGTCGCGACTACTATACTAGGAATACAGCCATTTATAAAAGGGACACACGTGGCGATAGCTTACCATAATTTTGGAGGTCGTACCCGGACTACGAACTTATAGGGGGAGATTAGGACTCTAAAACTAGCTTAGGGGAAGTATATAGCGTGCCTAATAAGGTAGTCTAGACTTACTAGATTAAAGCCACGAGTCCGGAAAACAGGGAGTCCGGAGTCGCTAGGGGCTAGCCTCTTAAAAGTAGCCGTAAAAAGCATGCGCATGCTAACACGGGTGATAGCGCGACTTGAAAATGTCTTAGGGGAATAGGATATAAAATAGGGCTAGATGAAGTAGTAAAGAAGAGTTTAAAAACGATAAATATAACCTGTTTAGTACTACTATAGCTGTTATTCATAAATACGGCTACACGAGTATACCACTTTAGAAACGCCTTATATAAAGATAATAATACAAGTAGGATACCGTGAACCTTATATCGATAAAGACGATAGTAATAGTTCACCTTATAAAGGGATTAGTTAATATGGAGAAGGGATAATGGGTGTTATAGGTAGACGCATTAGGCTAACCTTTAGTTAAGGTAATCCCTTAACTAATAACCTTACCCCTAGCGTCTCTACTAGCACACCTACTACTAGTAATAGTGCGATAGGAGCTTAAAACAACGACCTAGTAACTCGTAGAGAGATGCTTAACTTCTTCGTAGCATTTACGCAATAAGGAAGGATAGTATCTCTACCTACCCTAGCCCCCGAGCGCTTTAAAGGAATAAACATCATAGCCTTCCTTCGGAAGTACGAGGACATATATATAAACTACGAAGTTCCGTCTAATAAGAAGATAACCTCCCTACTGTTATACTACGAGGACTATCTCCGTCCTACTATTAAAGGAATAAGTAGGTTTTAGAAATAGTAGTAGGCCACGCTACGTGAAGAATTATTAAAGGAATTCTCTCTATTTGACTCTGCCCTCGAGGAAGGCACCATCCACTTTATCCGAAAATATATGGAAATGGTTAAAGTAGACCCATTCTACTCTCTCCCTATATACTACTCCCGGTATCATATTATTACGGAGAAACTTACGGCTAAAGGAAGCCTAAGCTTGTATTCGCGAATAGAGCTCTTCCTAGAAGGGCTACCTAATAGTCTTAAGGCTCGGGCTATAGAGAAATGTTAACTCACGATGGAAGTATATAGTTATAACTAGGTAATTATCTATAGCTTCGTATCACGAAAGGCTAGAGCACTTAAGGAACTGGCTTATATTAATAAGTACTTAGCCGTATAAGAGCTGGCCATAGCTATATACTATAAATTAAAGATAGGGAGTAAGAAGACCGGCTTAGAAGAGTAGTTATATAAAGAAAGAAGAACTAATAAATTTAACTACCCCTCTCTAGTCGTAGTATACGTCGCGCTAGAATTAGATAAGTTTAACGAGATGGTAGAGAGATTTAGTAAACTAGACCTCACGTTAATTAAGATGAAGTCCTACTTTACCTCTAATTCCTTATTCCTATCCCTTAAGAAGTACGAACCTAAGCTACTTTCGGCTATTATTAACTAGTAGGCGCGAAGGCTAAATCTTTTAGTACATCCCTAAGCACGAGGCATGCCTATAGAACTAACGTAAGTTTATCTATAGAATTATATATAGAATAGAGAATACGTCTCTACCCGAGACTCCTAAGGAGGCGTTATGGCCTAGGATAGGCCTCGAAGACCGATCGTGTGTATTACGTGCGGAGGAGATTACCTAATATATAGATATCCGGAGATGGTAGGATATATTAGAGACGGATTACTAAATATTAACGGGGTGCGAGTATTCTAAGGGCGTTTCGGGGCGAATAGAGAAGAAATCCTATTACTACCCTTCTCGGTAGGGCCATAAGCTACTCTATAAGC